TGTTATTGTACATGTAAAATAAAGGCAAACGTACAAAAAAGTGTATACAAATATAGCGAACTTTTTGATAGCTTAGTACATCGTAGTACACATATCCATAATTATAAAATTGCGCAACGTGCACGGTATGTGTGTGTCTTCAGATTATTCGCACTTTCTTTAGTAAATCGTTATTCTCTAAATTTGTGTTGCTATGTTCTATTTGAGTCAGTGCCTTTCAGTAGTTCAGTCAATAATAAATCGTTGGTTGACACTTTCAGGTGTCGAAAAAATAAACTTTGAAAATTGTATTACATATCGACCGCGTGCCTCATTGGTGCCCTAGGTCAATTAATAGAGACGGAGTAGACACATTGAACATGTATAGCTTTATTTCAAATATTAGCTCAGTCTGTTCAAACTTATATTTAGATCAGACGGTATGGTATACGTTATGATTATTTTATAAGGTTGTGAAGGACAGCCTTTCCTTTTTGTTTACCACTACTGGTAAATCCATCGACCCCGCAATCATTACCAGATATAATCCTATTGTCCATTTTGAACAAGTGTCCTTGAAACTAGCGGCAGGGTTTCAATTTCAGAAATCCATCCATTGAGCAGCATGTGAAGTGTTGAACATTATACGCCCTGGCCAGTCTATTGCGCATTTGATATTTTTTATAATAATTACCATGTGGCATTTTCTCATTAGCGAAAACCACTTAGTTCTCTAAAACAAACATTTGTCCATTATTGATTTTATCTTCTGTTGTAAATGCTTAGGTGTGCTTCAGGAGATTTCTTTTCCGATGCGTTTAAAACTAATTTTGATCCCTTTTATGTCTAGAATTATACAAGCCCTTTTTATAGTACAAAAACCACGTGTAAATTTCCAGGGTTTAGAAGCATCAAAAATTGATCTCCCTGAGAACGCGGAAGACTGCGCATGTAGAGAACTAAAGCGTCGCTGGCTCATTTCCTTCATGGCGCTCCTTTTGCGGATAATCCCGTGGCTGTTTCTATGGACTCTAACATGGAATATTGCCGAGAATTTTCAGTCAAAGTCCTTTGACATATTTCGTGGGCAGCGCGTGAGTGGCGCTACCAGCTTTCAACGTTTATTTGGCGTTAATTCTCAGCGCCAATGCGCCCACGTATGTCTTCTGCAGGTAAACGGGACTTGCAGGGCAGCGAACTACGCCGCTTCGCTGAAGATTTGCGACATATTGCCAGACGATGAAAACAAAACAATCGTACAGGATCAAGATTGGACCTTCATACAAGGTGCGTGCATTCCTTTTCATTTTCCCCGTTCGCCTTTCAATTCAATATGGCCTGACCGATAAAAAAGGATTTAGAATATTAGCAACAAATGTTGCGAATAGTGATACGCTTGCCTTTTCTTTATTGATTGAATTGCCGCTCATGAACAGGGAATGTCTTAACTGAAATTTTGATTTAAGTTTAAAACAAAGAGTTAAGTAGCTTCGGAAAGAGAAAATATTTTTTGAATTTTGATGCAAACGCTATATGCATTTCGATCGCTTTTAAGTTTTCCATGTATAGTCATAAGAAGTTTCGATTTCGAATATTTATGTTATATGTTATATATATATATATATATATATGTATTATTTTTATTTCTTTTGATATAACAATGCTACCCTTTGCTTATATGTTGGGTTTTTTAAACCTGTTTGATCCTGTTTGATTGACTGTGAGGATGGTATTCACCAAACAATTCTCACTGCTATACTTCAGTTGTGAATGAAGCATCTTGTACCAGATGGAAAGACAACCGAGGGAGAACCACGAGTGGCACGTATACACTGGACCCCGACGGTATGGGCGGGGTGCCATCTTTCGACGTGGTTTGTGACATGTCGACAACGCCCCCTATCGCCCGGGTGCAGCATAATGCCAGTGACGTCAGGACCCATGTTGTGGGATATGAACGGAATTATTACGTTCACGCTATCTCTTTCACAGGTAAATAAAGTATTTTTTTTGTAGAGGTTGTTACGTTTTTTCCTTTAATTTTTTTTCAGAAAATTGTTGTTTTTCTCGGTTTTACATGTAATAAGAGAGATACATAGCCCCGAAATGTTATAGAATGTTAAAATACACCTGTAAATAGGCCTATTCGTCTTTGGCAAGGTTTTGCAGATGGCGCAGAAACATCATCTACCCACTATATTCTTAGGATCAAAATGTCGTTTTCAGGGTACCAGTACATAGTCATTTTTAATGAGCGTAATATTAAAGACGATGTGTGGTACCAGTAAGTTTTCTGTATATTTCAATTTTTAGTTATTTAAGATTGAATATTACGTCACTATTACGTCACAGACCTGTAGTTTCCTACGTTTCACATGCTGTATTCAGGTTACCTGCCATCCCAGCTGCGACTTCTGGCAGAGACCTCCACTAGCTGCCAGCAGTTCATTAAGAAGGAATGCTACCATAGTCTCACTGTTGGCTGGAGCACTGTGACGTCACGTGAAGGAGAAATACTGTATTACTTTGCTGGCAACGGGTCAGAGATCACCAGTGGATGCGCATGCGCTTTTTTCAACAACACGTGCGCAGGAGGTAACTTTTTTGTCGCCAATATCTCATAGGTGTCGGCGTTAACTTTTAATCGATGTGTCCGTTTGACATTTATCGACAAATCAAATTCAAGTACCACTTAAACATGAAGAGGCAAATATTTCCCCAGCCTATTTCGAACGAATGCGCCTTTACGTTAAGATTCAAATATTTAATATTGATTTGGCACTTTAGAATTCATAGAATGACAGTCTTCGACCAACATTTAAGTACAATGGAATTGTTTGTCGTAACGTTTAGTAAAATGCGGCCTTTGCGATGTTATTATTAGCCTATTATTTTTTTTTTTTTGGATTTTTAGTAGACTGCCATTCCAATTTTGACGTAAGCCATTTCAAAGGGAATATTCGGTCAACTAACTTGGCATATATATAAATTATTATTTTTCAAATTTATTTTAAGTGGTGCATTCAATGACAAAACTTCACAAATGAATTTCAAATGGAACAGAGCACTGAAGTCACATTTGAAGTCGGTTTTGTTCACATCTGCACACGTCCCTATGGACAATACTATTATCTGTCTATCGATGTACAATATTTTCAGGGCATCTCTGTAACTGCAATGAAAATGACTACGTTTGGCGGTCGGACGAGGGCTACCTAACCAACAAGACTGTTCTGCCCATAGCTCAGATCACAGTGGGAGACACTGCTGGCACGGACGAGGAGGCCTACATCACTGTGGGGGACCTGGAGTGTGTCGATTAGGTCCTGTGAAAAAGATCGAACAGTTGCCGTACATGTCCAGTAAACTGGGGGTAGGGCCTATTATTATGGGGATGCCATGACAAGGGAATACCCTCACCTTCTCCGTTTGCTGGGTATGACGTGGAACAATTTATGAAATTGGGCAGAAATAACGATACAGCATACTGCTGTAATAGGACATGGATAAATATATGAAACTCAGGTTTTTGCCTTAATATAAGACATATTTAAATCTCGTGCATTGTTACCAGTACTGAATCACCAGACGAGGGCTGCCTGTCCAAAATAAACGTAGGCCTACAATATAAAGAATAAAACATGATTTAAGACAGTGAATTTAGGTGTGCGTCTTTAATGCGTGTGGACAATGTCACACTCGGAATATAACTCAAAGTGGATCGGTCCAGTTAAATCTACCACTCGATATGAAAAACGGCTTAAATGTGTTCACACGTGTGACGGGAATGGTCGTCCTAGGAATGGAAGTCCGGAGTCACATATGATTAGTACAGGCTAAGATTAGTCGGAATAGGTGTGAGTATATGGGACGAATGCCAACTGTACAAAGTTATGAGGAACGGACTTCGGTTCTTAGCGGACTACATCAAGGACGTTTATTGTCTTATAAGTCCTTGACTACATGTACCATTTTTGTCACACTAGCTGTACCTTATAAACATGCCTTTTTCAGGGTCTGTCTTTATCTTTCACTACCCATACCAATTTTGTAACACGGACGTTTGGTATTTATCTTGTTGCTTAACAACAGAACACCAGCTGGAAATAACAGGGACAGAGTTATAACTGTGTTATGTAAATCGGAGTTATTCCCTACATTAACCTCTGCTTTATATCTGAATAATGCAATGCTAGCTTACTTCTTACATCAAAATAATAAAACAATGTCTTACGCGAGGTCGTAAAGACAGCGTTAAAGTGTGATGAACAATAATATTTCATGACTTATGGTACTTGTTGAATGTAACAATTTGGCAACTTGTTCTTTACGATGTAGTTAAGAAGTTTTAACACATCCTTTAACTGCATAGTTTGAACAATTAGGCTGTATTCCCAGAGCTTTTAGATCTTTCTTTCCCCGCGGGGAGTCTCACTAGATTACTGTCAGATAATCCGGCTTAAATGTCCGTCCCGCCTACTACAAGCTGTATGGCGGCTGACTGCTATTTAGCGTGAACCCCCAGGGAGTTAGGTTGATCTAAAGTAGATCGATCTAATCTCTGGAAATGGGGTCTTACTCTAGATAGTAGCTGTTACATAAGTAAACTGGAGGTCTTTCTTGCTGACACTCATTTGTTTTCGTATACTACATGTATGACGTACATAAAACGCTGCATCATAACACAAAAGATAAGAAGTTCTGCTTTATTTTCAATAAAATACTATGTAACATTTCAGGCGTAATCGTATAAAACACACACTTCACGTCTCGAAACCAGGAGGTTAAATGAGTGACTGGGTCCCACTTCTGAGACCGAAGGAATGGGGCTGAAAATTGTGCAATTTACAAAAAAAAAAAAAAAAAAAAATGTAGTTCTTACTTTTATCCCATTCCACTGAAGCTGGTCCTGTTGACCGACTCATTAGGAACATATGAGAGTGAATCACCGTTATGTCAAGCGGTTTGGAGAGTTAGTTCACCAGTGATGTCATGATTTATAAATATAACAATTGACAACATAAGTTGTAGATCATATATTAAGAAACTGTTGCTTGAACAGGAAGTCTTTCTTCTTAATGAAGTATTTTTCTACGGCCAACAAACCTTCCTCTGCTCTCTAGTTTCTACATAATTGGTGGGAAAATCCAAATGATCAAACGCCACAGGCATTCAATAGTGAGATCTTTTCAGGCTTCATTCTTTTCAACAGAATAATAATTGAATAATTTTGATAAATTAACGAGTCAACATTTTGCATAAAAAATATGTCTCCCGTGTTAATTTAATGTGATTTTGAAAGTGGGTTCAATAAATGTTTGCATTAATATAGTCATATACAGATGCTTTTCATAAACATATCCAAGCAAACATTTCTTATGGCAACCAAGTAGTCATTGAATAATAGGAAATTTTGTCCACATCACTTTTTAAATGTTTTCTGTAAAACAAATGCGTCTGCAGGTTCTATCCTCTTGTAATAGTTCTGTTTTCTTTCAACAATCTCAAATCCAAAATTTTCATAAAATTTGATTGCGCTATCATTATTGACTTGTACGTGCCTGGAAAGAAAAAAAAATTAAAATAAATGTATTCAATAAAAGAACATTTGTAACAAGGACTTCTACTTATAATAACAGAAAAATATCTTCATAGAAAATTTAACATTTGCTTGGCATATATTTTTCTCAAAAATGTGAAGGTCTTTAAGACTATAAACCTACGAGTAAAAATCAATCCTTTCATATTATCCGACTTACAGGTAAACATTGTCAAAATTTCCATCCTGCTCACAAATCTTCAGTACATGTTCTAGCATTACAGTACCTGAAACATTACATAAACATAAATAAATAAGTAATTAAATAAATGTAAAACAAGTGGTTAAACTGCTACTCAATGTGGTAGACACTTTCGTCATATTCAAGACCTAAGACAATATCTAGAACTCTAAGTAGCAATGTATGAATTTTTTGATGTATTTCATATATTTACCCACAGCTCCATATAATTGGTACTAATAGGTATAAATAATTCTGATGTTGCCTTAATGACAAAAACACATAATGGAATCTGTTTTATGATAATTAATCATACAGACATTCTTCAATCATGCATATAAAATAAACTGATGCTTTCATTTCAACCATGAGGTAAAAAAAATGTCCATTACATGTATTAATAATGTTCAATTTTACTTTTAAAAGTTCGACATAATTTCTTGATTTCATTTTCATGCTGCTCAGTATTCATTCTCCGTAACTTGTGTTTTGTTTGATGTGCCATTCCCATGCATACCTATTCCATATCTCCTATAAGGCGCTAAGACTCCCAGAGTCATTATATATAACCTGCGCTGGTTTTCTGAGACGTCTATCCTACAACACACAGCTCCTACCACTATGTCATTGAAATATGCTGGAAAACAAAATTATCACAGGGACATAACAAATATTATGTTTACATGAAAACTGATCACTTTTGTATGAAGCAAGGATCATTAAGCATCAGTGCCACTTATGCTGCTAATGCAGTTTTTGTGAGAGCTCCAAAATCTAATCCTGGTTTGAAATACCATATTTCTTAACAGTTTAATAAAATTTAAACAATGGGATAGTAAAAGAAAAAGCTTTATTGCCTTATATACATTGAGATGTTTGCTGCAATAAGAAACAATTTCTATTATCAAATTGTGGTGTGTGGATTAAAAAAAATTCAAATATGTCTTCTTTGAAGAGGCAACTTACCTAGTTTTGCTAATTCTCCAACTTCTAGTACATCTTTGTAAAACTTGTCATTGTAAGAAACTGGAAAGACCACTTGGTTTAACTTCTTCAACTGTTTGATATTGTGGTGAGTAACCTCCCCTAACTCTGTGTTGCCTCTGTAACAGAAAGGAATATTCCACGCATTAATTCGGACTATCTAACCTTCCGACCAATGTACCTTCGGGCTATTTCTAGGGCCCCATCTTCAGAGACTACAGTGAAACCTCCAAGGTCTGAAAAGGAATCTCGATTTACTCATGTAAACACAATAATGAATATTCATCGGCATCAACGGCACCAATCCCAAAGCAACAGTGCTCATCGCACAAAAAAAAGGAGTCAATACTTTGTCTTGTTAAAACTAAATCGGCCCAAAAGTGATGACTGATTTCGAACTGCCTCAATCGTCGTTCATTTACGCATGCTTGACAACCGCCCTGCCACAGGACAGTGCCAGTTGCGAAATTAGGTGCCATCCTTGTCGGTGTGTTGTCGTATAAAATAACAGGTTAAGACGGTGAGTTAATTAAGAAATGCCTTTAAGCACACATACTATCAATACAAGCTTTTGCAGTTTACGTACCGCGTCATTTTGTCTAATTATTATCGCGCTCTCCGCACGAGGATCACCTAAATAAAGTAATTGTATGTTATGCCTTTAGTTTTGTAAATTTGAATCATATTGAAAATCTTCAAAGGGTAGAAAATAAAGTCATGTTTCTTGTTTTCGATATGAATCTAATTCTATATTTTATAATTATATTACATGCGTTGAAAATAATTTCGTAAACATTATTTGAAACTTCCAGAACAAAATCCAAATGCGAGGTAGCTTTGCTTATACTTTATGCTTACACTTCCGGTCAAGGTGAAAAACTAAGAAACAGGTACGATAATATCACTGTTTTAAAAAATGTGTTGTATTTGCCTCAAATTACTGCACTCCTCTCGGTTTAATTTTTCAAAATTTAATTATTCTAATAGCATTGTATACCAATTACATTGAGAATGTTTTGGTATTTGTTTATAAAACTTGGGCATTGACACAGCTAAGCTAAGCATGACCAATCTCAGGCCGGCTACTATTTTCTTGCGACTGTTTATTGACTATTTGCTATATATCTAAGGTGAATAGTAAGGAATGAAACTAAGTAAAAGTAGTAGCATGGCTCTCCATCCAAATTCAGACTGGTATGTGCTGCCTATACTAGTACTAAACTGGAGTCTAATTAAACGTCTTCATTTAATGGCTCTACAGACTGAATCCTTCTAAAAACTATTGATCTGACTTTTTTGTTTATTTTTTACAATATGCCCAGGAAAATCTCATATCCTCATAGATTAGTTTGCCAGTGCAGTTATGCTTAGGGCATCTTTGAACAGCAGTTAGGCAGCAAGTCTGAACTAGTACTCCAGTCTTTTCTTACATGTACCTTAAATTTTATTTGGTTTGGGTAGATGACCTTACCTTAGCTAATAACTTAAAAAAGTGTAAACTTGCTTGAACATGGTGACAGTCTGACATACCAGGTAAGTACTGAGGAATTAATTATTACCTCTTGCATCAATAACCGAGTTCCAAAATTAATGAACCAAAACTTAAATATAGTTTTTTACTCCCATTTTAGAGGGTGCAATGTCAGATGAAGAAGAGATTGATATAGACACCCCTCAGGAAGAAGATGAGGATGCGGAAGAGGATGAGGAAGGAGTAGAAGAGGAAGGCGAGGAAGAGGAGGAGGAGGAAGAAGAAAATGAGGAAGATGAGGAAGAAACCCAACTCCCAGATGAAGAAGATGAGGATCAGACCCAAGATGTGACGGAGGAGGAAGAAGGAGAGGAAGAAGAAGAAGAGGAAGAGGATGGAGAAGAGATGCCACAGGTAACATGTCTGGTTGCTAGTGTAGGACTTGTGGCAGTGTGAAGAGAATTGTGTGTCATGGTATGGCCATTGCAAGGTTGAAGGAGATGAGATGCTTGTTTTTTTAATAATTCTCCCATAGATCCAGAGATTTTTTTACATACAAGAAAGGTTGTCTCTAATGCAGACACCCCCCTTAAAAAAAACAAGTATTAGTCTATCTCATCCTGATAAGACCAGTTTTGTATTCCAAAACTGTTCTTTTGCATTATATCTTTTTTGTGTAATTACATTTTAAAACGTGATTGGGGATAGAATAATTCTAACTTGATATTCATATTCTCTCTTGTGCATCTTTTTATAACATTTTATAATTTTCTTAAACAATTAAATTACTGGATGATAATATAGTTTAAGATGATGCAAATAATTTCCAGGAAGAAGATGTTGATGGCGACATTACCATGGAAGCTGATGATGACATTGACGAAGGTGACCTTGACCTAGATTCAGAAGAGGAGTCTTATACAGAGGAGCATGTTGCTATCAGAATGGAGGCTTGTGTTTTCAACAGAATGGAGCTGGACCTGCCTGTGGATATGATTCAGAAGGTGACTGTTACACCTGGCTGAATACTTTATATTGTTCTTCTTTTTGTTTCGGGCCTGCCACTCCTAAGTGTTTGCCACAGCAGGTTATCTGTCTCCACCCACACAGGCCCAATCCCAACTCCTTCATATCCTCCTTGATTCCATTCATAAATCGTTTCCACGCCCTTGTTTTCTCTTTCCTGTTGGTTTCATTGGCAGCATTCTATGTCTCACATAATATTTTGTTTCTTTCCTCCATATGACATGCCTTGTCAGCGCAGCTTCCACTACATTGCCTTGTCCCCATTCTTGTCGTCCCTAGATTATTTTCTGGATGTGAGTCATAAGAAAAGATTTCATATTAAAATAGTTTGCATTTTTATTTTCATATTTTAGATTTGTTTTATTACTATCATTTCAGCAGTATTGAATTCATAACATGCAAGACTCTGCAATTGTTATGTAAAATTCATATTTCATTACAACTCCTAGGAACTTTTTCTTTTGGTACCAGTATTTTAAATTTTATGTGTTACATTATACGGTATTGTTTTGATTCCAGAAGGAAGTATTCAACCAAGTGTTCAGTGTGAAAATGTGGCAGGGACTGTCAGAAATGCAGAGGAGACATTTAATGGTATTGTTGCTATAATAGTAATCTTTAACAACTTTTTTGCAATTAATTGCCAAGCTAAAACTAATTTTTGTTCAGTTACAACAAACTTCAATCATTTTCTTGATAACATCTTTTTAATATAACGTAATTTTTGTTTGTTTAATAATTTACAATGATGTATCATTATTAGTTTTTTTTTATCTCGAATTAGTTTAAACTTTAACAATTTTTTTCTTTGTAGAAATTTCTCCCCAGTTTTGGTACAGATGATATGAAAGAAAAACAGACCATATTAAGGTAGGAAACAAACTGAATTCAATTTTAAGTGATATTCTTAGTGGCATGACTACATTAATAGGAAGTGCCAAAATATGTTTCTAGTTTTGGCTAAAGAAATACTATAGAGCACAGAGCTCTGCCAAGGAAATTCAGTTTAAGTACTAAAATTAATTGATTTATTGGTTTTCAGCCAAAACCTGATTGATTCTAGACTGGTCCATTTTTGACCTATCCTGAAACTTTTAACAAAATTTGTCCATAGCTTTTTCATTTAGGCTGTAAACAAACAAATCAACAAACTTAAAGGCCAAAACATTACTTCCCAGGCAAAGGTAAATAATGAACTAACCTTAATCTCATGTCATATAATATTTCATAATATGTAAACTTGATTGTATGTTGCTAAGAGTTCAGATTCACATTCAGATATTCTCCATTGCAGAAAACTCTTTCACAGAGAAAATTTCAAGTTCGGAAACCCTATTCAGAAGTTTCAAGCTGATCTTAAAGGTAAGTAATGTGTATTCAGCATATGGATTAAAAATAATTTAATGTCTGAAAAAAATATATATATATTGTTTCAGAAAACAATATATTCTAATTCAATTAAAACTTTCAAGAAAAATTAATGGAATATGTATATGATATTTATATCAGATTAACTCATTATGAGTACCAAATGCAAAAAGGTATTATTTGATTGAAATTCACAACTAATTCAAATATTCACTATTTTTCAGCTGGTTTGTTCTCCCCAGACATTGCCAAGTACAGGACCCTGTTCAAGAAGGCCAAGTACAAAGAATACATCTACCAGCAGCAGGAGTATTACACCAAGCTGTTGAAGGACATCCTGGTGTCCAGACAGGTGGGTCAGGGTGGTCAACTGGGTGGTCACTCAGGGCAGCAGAAAGCCAGTGTTTAAATTATTGATGTTTTGATTGATAGGTGTTGGTTTATTTGAGTGACTTGTGAATTAATTCAGCTTATTCAAGTAATACTGCATACAATTTTTTTTGCACCCAGCCCCAGTAGGCTTATAAGTCACTGTTTTATCTTTATATTAAACAACTTTCATTAAACTAATAATGATCAGAGGTTACAGTTACACATCCATTGTTTCTAATTGTTTCAAATATTGTTAATGGATTGGAAAATGCATTATAATTGTGTGCTTCTGATATCTTATTGCAGAGAGTTTTAGAACAGCTTGGAAGCTTGACTCCTGATGAAAAGTTGAAGCCGCTGCCTAGAGTTTCTGTTCCTCCTAAAGAAAAGAGCATGAATTATAGGATGAGGAAGAAATATCAAAGGTAAAAATAGGCTAATATGCCCATTTAAATATGTTTAGCATACTGGAGTCAGTATAAGAGAAGTGTAGGCTGATGACTCATAAGTAATGAACAGATTTTGACAAAATTTCCATGATGGGTAAAAATAGGGTAATTTACCATTTTAAATATACTTAGCATCCTGAAGTCAGTACAAGAGGAGTGCAATGCTGATGCATCATCAGAAGAAGAGGATGCCATCACTGTGCCTGGTATCCACATGAGGAGACAACTGCTGAGTCCATCTAAACAACAGGACACACAGCAGCAGACTTCTGGGGTTATATCTACCCTGTCACCCAAACCAGGGAAAGGTGAGGATAGAAGATTAGTTTTTTTTCTCGTTTCCTACCAGTCATCTGTAAACTGAAAATAAAAATATTTGAGTTTGTATACACTGTGTCACTGAAACCAGTATCAAGATACTGCTGTGAGTTTTTAAATTTATGTCCCTTTTTTATTGCCCATCTCTGATAATTATGCATTCAATGCAGCAGTGTGCCAGAAGGATTCAACATGTTAAATTACTCGAGAGTGATGTTTTGAAAGTGCCAACAGTATGCATATATATATATATTTTTTAATTGGTTTCCTAGGAGTGGAGAGAAGTACAAGTCCTATCACAGTGGATGATGAAGATCTCAAAGCTTTGGTGAGAAAACACAGGAAGAGGAGGCTTGAAAATGAGGTTTGTAAGCTATGCTATTTATCAGTAAGAGAGAAAAAAAAAGTTGTGCAGTTGTTTAAATCAATTGTATGGTCTACTTAAAACATATTACATATTGTTCATACTTCAATTTTCAAGTCCAATTTAAGATGGACAGGTTGTATTTTTCTATAAAAAATAATTGTACCAAAAGAAACAATGAAATAAAAAAAACCTTTAACACTGATGTAAAATGTGTAATAACTTCACTACTTTCTCCTATGGTAGGACTCTCCTGACTTGGACACAAGAGGCATTACACTACAAGACATCATAGTGAGAACACAACCCAATAACAAGAGACTGCTTAAGTTACATGAAGCTGCTCTGACCGCTGAACAAGGTGAGCACTGATGTGCCTTAGAGGTACACATGTCTGTTCCAGTGTCCTTTTTTGATTGTGCATTTTCAGTTGAATTATGCACGCAGATCCCTGACTGCAACCAATATTCCCCAAACACACTGCCAGGAAACCTTCTAGGCACTAAGTGGCCTGACTTGTCAATTTGGTACCCATTAAAACCAACCCCAACCCCAGAGTGACTATAAATGGGGCTCACAGTTTCTGACAGACAAACAACATTTTATATTTGTAAAGCATTATAGTCACAGATATATTGAAATAAGAAAGAGAAGCTATTATAACTTATTTACCATAAATGTATTTGACATATCATTTTTAATATTCATTTTGAATAGATTTAATAGCAGTCTTAGAATTTGATCATAATAATTCTTAATAGCTGAAGAAAATACTTTATTTGTTTTAACAGCTTCTGTAGAAATTGATTTTTAAATGGAATTAACATTAATATAACAATTTATAAGGCCCAGCAGTACAAATGAAGATGGCAGTCCCAAGAAAACCACGGGCAGACGACAAGGAGAGGAAAAAGAAACGCCTCAAGCTGAAGATTCCAAAGCCAGGGGAGGCTCCTCTTGGCCAACAAATGCCTCCAGGTGGTGCTGGTGTGAAGGAGACAGATGAGTATGACTTCAGTAGTGACATGGGACCAGCCTTTGGACATCCATACGCACAGTAAGTGATGAGATGCCATTATAACTGTTCTGAATCATGTTTGAATCAATAAGTGATGTAATTATTTGAATTGTGATAGATATATTGAATGATGGTATACATGATCACAATTAACAGGAAATATTTGCAAGGAGAATTTCTTGATTGTTCTTAAGGTTCCTAAAAATAGAATCTACATGTGCCAGTGTTCAAGTAGTGTTAGAATGAGTAGCGATAAGTAAAATATTAATCTAATAACACAGCAAAATTGTAGTTAATTTCAGATGATATTTTCACCTTTTTCATCAATTTCAAATTATTTTTCCAGACCAGTTGTGAAAAGAAACTTTGGTGTTTATGCCAGTTTCTTCAGCCTGTTAAGAGACTTTATTTCTGAGAGTTCAGAAAGTAAAGTTACCACTACAAAGGTAATTCATGTTGTTCATACTACTAATGGAGTCTGTTTAACAGTAACACAGGTCCCTATATTTATTTCCCTATAGATAAAAAAAAACGACCACTGCATTGATACCTTCTCTGATGACTGAAAAAATACTGAAACAGAAAAAGGCATTTTACCCTAAAACATTTTCTGGAAGATTTTGTACCAAGAGTCTCAAATATATAAGTTCTGTGAAGAATATACTAAGGTTATTATGTATCCTTATTAATTGTACCACCAGCGTTAGTGCTGGCGGTACACATGGTTTCGGTCCCGTCCGGATCGTTCCGCCGGCTCCGTTGGCTCCGCCGGCTCCCCCGGACGGCTACCGTTACCGCTTCTTCTCCTAGACGGTAAGGGCCCCCGTACCCATCTCATGGATTTAGGTCACCTATAATCTCAACTCGTTCCACGTAAAATTTGGGCTTTGTCGGTATTGGGGTCTGGGTGTGGCACTCATTGCAATGCACTCTTGTCTAAAAATGGCAAAATTAAATGCTAATTATCTACCCTACGGAAGGAGTTATGGGAAAAATTTCTATAGACGGCTTTCCAAAAGTCATATGTGTAGATTTCAAATATACCCTTGGATTTGACCTTTGACCTCTACTTTAAGGTCAAACGGGCCAAAATTTTCAAAAAAATGAAATTTTTTACGAAAAAATATTTTTTTGCCCTGTTATTCAGACACCACACAGACTTAACCAATAATATTATTGGAAAGTGTTACCCTTCAGGTCATCTTTCATCTCCATGAATTTGGGGTCAATCGGTGCATTTTCACGGGAGTAGCGGCCATAAGATACCGTAACTGAAAACTGTCTCTAATTCGGGAACCGTTAATGCTAGAGACCCATTCTTTTTTGCATTTTGTAGACCATGTAAAGCCCAACACTGGAGGTGGTCTCGGTTTTTTTGTATTCCTTTCGGTTTTCGAGTTACGCTGTATCAAAAAGTACATATTGGTGGTAAAAGCAAAATGTGCAGTACGGTTATGGATAATAAATTTTGAACTGTGGAAAAATAAAACATAAGGCTCGGCAAAGCAGACAACTTGTGTTCAAAAATGACATTATTTCATCAAATTTGAACTTCTGAAACTTCAGAGCACCTCCTATTTCAAGAATTTTGACCAAAATGACATTTTCTTTATTTTAATTAATTTTTTCTGTACGAAATTTAAGGCACATTATGGTTACTCCATAATTATAACATCTAGTCCCTTATATCTCCAAAACTGGCAGAGATAGGTCCATAGTTACTATTGAACTTGAATAGAAAGTCATATACTGGCAATCTAAATGTGACCTTGAAATTGACCTTTGACCTACTTTTTATCATGAACTGAACTCTGCTAATTTCTTTCTCTTTTAACTTCAAACTTGACAGAGATAGGTCCATAGTTACTCTTGAACTTGAATAGGAAGTCATATACTGGCAATTTACTGTGACCTTGAAATTGACCCTTGACCTACCTTACGAAGAACTTAAATTTGATTGTACCATATATATTTTTTGCAATAGTTAAAAAATTCTTGTTGATTGCATTTTTACAGCTTGTCAAGCACAAAACTGGTGGCTGTGTCCCTTATTTTGTGTATGTGGGGGTCTATACGAATGCGTTTGCTCCAGCTGGTGGTACAATATTTGGAGGCGATATCGCCTCTCTGATCCTCTAGTTTTTGCCTTTATTCTTTTATGGTCACAGTAATGCTCTTTTTCTGTGCTATAATTGCAGCTGGAGCAGCAAGTGTTGGAGTGGCAGAATTCTCCCAGTAGTAAACTCAATGTTTGGGTTTCCATGGAGAAGAACTGGGTGGAGTTGGTGTCGTCTGCTCTCAAGTTTCTCTCTGGAGATATCTTGGGTAAGTTTGAGTCTAATGGGGGTTAATTTTTACCCAGCTATACTTCAAGTCAGTCTTATAAAATATTCATGTAAACCATTTCAGGTTGATAATACTGTCCCACACAGTGTGAATCACACACATTTTGTAAAGATATTTAATTGAACATCTTTAATTGCCAATATTTTAAAAATTTGTAAACAACGAGATAAAATGAGTTGTCATAAAATTGATCATGAGTTAATATCGCTGTCCTCATGCATAAAAATGCAGTCTGATGAGTTTGATTTAAATTGGTCATTCAGGTCTAACATTAGAAAAGTTCATTCCATTGGTTGACTTCAAAGAACGTGCCCAGATCTGGAAGTGGATAGGTCAAGGTCATGATAATGATGCATATTTGACAATGCTGTGCACTCATTGGCTGGAGCAGAGAAAACAGAGTATTCTGGAGTCTGGTGATGCCAATGATGAGGTGCCACCTGCCAGAGTGTAAGTTTACAAGATTTGAGATTCTTCTAAATATAAACTGCATACTTCATCAGGCACAATATATTATGATATGTTGTCTGATTTTAAGAAGAACACTTTAAAAAATGGAGAAAACAATTATATGACATCTGCAGAAAGGCAAATGTGTTTAAATTTTATAAAAGTTTTTTCTTCAGTTATTTTGGTTTGCCAAGGTGATGCATTTTTTTCAGACTGTTAAATACAAGTTATTGGACCCCTGAAGTAATTAAAGAGAAAATAATTTATATTTCACCATAATTTCTGCCAGTTGTGCAGCAACAAAATTATTATCATGCTATTATGCACACTGCTGTTTACTATAAGATACCGTATAACCTTGTTGTAGACTATTAAAGGGAATGTGCTAAACAAAGAATGTGCTTAATATTTAACATCTGAGACTTTTCTTATTTTCTTTCAGGAAAACTGATTTTGTGGTGAGACCAACCACAGACATGGAGAAGGTTGTGTTCAGGGCACAGGTAGGTGTTTGAAGCAGTTAAATATATATTTATGAAATTAAAAAATATATATTTTGTGGATTTTCAGTGGAGCAAATATATCTCTGACTATGATTTCTGACATTTTGAATAAGTTGTAGAAATTTATGTTTCTTCTCATGGTGGAAGCATTTGCTGATATGAACACTCTATTCTTAGACAAGGTTATGGACCTTAAAAGTGTGAGATAAAAATCAACTGACTGCATTTATTTCTAGGAGTTGGAAAGGTTTTCCAGTCCCCATAAAGCCTTCACATACAAGCTGCATGGCTATGAGTCCACAGTGGGGCCTGTGAAGGGGGTCTACAATAAAGAGAGTCCTATGAACAAAGCCAGAGAACACAACCTCCTCGTAAATGAGAGACCTGCTTATGTGACTATTTTAACTTTGGGTAAGTGAAAGGACCTGTTGGTATTATTGTCTTCCTGGACAGTCAGTGATACATGGATTTAAAATTTTTCTTTGAGCTTGATCATCTAGCTGTATGTTATTCACAACAGATTATCAAGAAATGAATTGACCACATTTATCATAGTATTAAAGAAAGAAACTAATCCTGGCTTCATATATTTTGTTTTTTTACAATAAATTGCCTAAGTAGTCTTCATAAACAGCAGCTTTATATTCCTGTCTCCTTCCTTAATAGTGCGTGACTCAGCAGCGAGACTGCCCAATGGAGAAGGAACCAGGGCAGACATATGTGAGCTCCTCAAAGATTCTCAGTTTCTCTCACCAGGGGTCTCTGATGCACAGGTAAAACAAGAGGGGCTTCAACACAGCAGCACCTCATTATCCTCTCGTTTCATCTTTTTATACCTAATCAATTAATCTCAGTATCATATAAACACAAACTTTATCATGAAATTTGCTGTTATTCCCAGTACTGTATTGGGAGCATAGTTGTTACAACAGAAAAATGAAAGGAATAGGAACTTTTATGAACAGTAATACTTAGTGTCAGCTTCCAAAGATCTAGAATTAGTGTTAAATTGTTGCAGTTGAATTAGAGTTGAGACTAACTCATCTATTCCACTTGGATAATATTGCATTGTCCATAATGTGATGTATGAGCAAAGTGTCTTGATTCATTCACTTTGATTGATCCAGTTGTAGTCCCAGTCAAACAAAGATTAATTCTCACACTGGGTTCTGACATTTATTTTTTCGCTTAAGTCTGTAGGACATAGACAAAACATTAGAGCTTGAACTATGTGTGCAAGAGCAGATCTTTTCTGACAGTTTTCCAAATTATTTTTGTTGATCCATCTCCATTTTTGACTGTCTTCCCAGGGAAAAAAATTAAAAACCTAAAAAAAAAATATTAGATGCCCATCAATGTAGGCTTGAAAAATCTAAGTGTCTTTCAGAAGACTCTGGAGACGTCTTCTGTCTGCCCCTGCAAGAGTGTCTAGTATGAGAAATAATTTTCATTGTTGATCTGGTTACCTATGAGCTGGTATCTTCCAGGTGAATACAGTGGTTAGTGGAGCCCTGGACAGACTGCACTATGAGAAGGACCCCTGTGTGAAATATGACGTCAACAGGAAGCTGTGGATATATCTACACAGGAGCAGATCTGAGGAGGAGTTTGGTGAGTGGATGTTGAACTTGTTGTATTCTGAAAATTTTGAGCAACTACTTCCAAATTGGTGATATCGTTAGTGTCAAATGTCATTGATCAAGGATGGAAGGGCTCAGCGAAATTTTTGAAAACTTGAGTCATGAGCATCAGTTGTAAAAGTTTAAAATGATTAAGCGTAAATTTTCTTTTGTAAGTAGCAAATATATGTTAAAAGATCTAAAATTTAGCCCACTCCTATATTTCATCAATTGTGTTTGGCTACTAGATTTTCTCAGGGAGATTAAGGTCAAAACTTTTGACAAGAGAAGCTATATGCTTGCTTTTTATGAACACTCAGTAAGAAAAGTAAATTCTGTTTCTTATTTGGTAAAGTTGGGATCTTTTTCCATTGAAGAAGTTGTATTATGAAGCATAAATAAAAGTATATAAATTTTATTAAAAATCAGCTAAATTGTATGGCTATTTCATGTGCTATTGACATAGAAAGTCATGCCTGTGTGGTGTATTCCAGAGTTAATCCATCAAGCCCATGGAGCTGCTGCTAAAGCCAAGAGAGCAATGCAGAAACCGAAGGCCACTAAATCAGTAAGTAGGCTGTTTACACTAGTGGGCTAGATTTGGTCTTAAAGTGCAATTTAAGTTCACAAGTGATCTTACATGATCTTAATCATTACAGCAGTAGTCTTAAAATAGACTGATTCAGAATCGGCTTTTAAGATCAAAAATGATCTAACATCTACTTAAGTGGTCAAGCAGTTTCCTCCCCTCACAATGGGGGATACCTCCCCTCACAATAGAGGACACCTCTGCTCACAATAGGAGAATGTGTAAGGGGAGACAACTTAATTGGCTGCCAGACTGCAAATGGTCTTACTCATGTTTTAAGATCATGTAAGACTATTTGTGCTCTTAAATTGCACTTTAAGACCAAAATCAAGCCCACTAGTGTTACCTAGTCACATTTTTGTACTTTTATCATAGCTGCATTTTCATGCTTGACCTATAACCTATAGACCTATTACTTTTCAAGCAAAATAATTTTGAAAAAATACACCATATTATAATAGACTATAGCTTATCTCCAGTGGCTGTAACAGTCACTTAACTGCTTAGTTTATTGTTTTTATAAAAATTTTGAGAGCCAAGGGCTCTGAAACAGCCACCAATCTATTCTCTTAATTTTTTTAAATATTTTTGATGGAGCCAAGGAGCCTGTGACAGCCAGTTAACATATTTTTTTTAAAAATATCTCTCCAGAGAGCCAAGGAGCCGACCACAGTGACCACCATTCCCCCTCCCCAGACTCAGGCAGCTGAGGATGCAGCAGCAGTAGAGGCTCTATTCCAGGGACAGGTGCCTGCCTCCCAGGCCAATAGCCCCAGGGTGGTTACACTGACCCCGGGGATGGTGAGGATGACTCCACCCTCTCCACAGACCACACAGGTATGTAATGTTGATTAACAATAGAATGTAGAATGATTCATATCTTAGAGAAATGGGTTGGGGTGGGTCTTGATGGAAAATAATTGAAAACAAAACTCAGAGGGTGTGAAAGAAAAGAATCCCTTTCGGCCCTTCTGCACAGGTTAGATCCATTAAACTGAAGTTTATCTTATAAAAGTGTGATTTTTTTTTTATGTCTGTATGCATTTTTAGCAATGAATTTCTTGTTTACTTGTTGAGAAATAAACAGTACAACCAAATTCCCATTTTTTTGTCAGAGGTTGCTTGTATGATGAAAAAATGTGGAATTTAGATTATCACTTTATTTTAGTGAGAGGGAACAGGCTGCATATTTTTTTTTTTTTTTTTTCTGATTGAAATTTATGATCAGTTGATTTAAATCAAATCTATTGAGGTTTGAATTCTGAAGTTATATAATATTCTATCATATCACAGGCCAGTCAGAGAGGCATGGAGACAGTATTCCTCCAGCCTGGTCAGAGGTTTGCTCCCCAGGGCATGATATCCCAGAACCAGCCCGGGACAGCCCCTACTTCTGGGACACCCACTCAGTCCCTGTACCAGATTGGAGGTCAGCGGATGACTTCCAGTCCCAGACAGACTGTGGTGGGAAATAAACCGTACTCATATAGCATAGTACAGAGTCAAGGCCTGCCTGGCCAGGGGAGCCCCCAGACTGCAGGCAAGACTGTCTTGGTGACACAGCCACACCCTGGTGGTAGTCCACAACAACAGTTGCAGACCAGTCCACGGGCAGTGTCTGCTAGCCCTTCTATAGGGGTAGGTGGACTTTGTTTTATTGTGTGTGAAATTTTTGTTATAATTAAAAGTAATGTTAAATTAAATTCTTAATAGTTTTTTTAAGTTTGTGCCTATGTGTGTGTTTTTTATTTTTAAAATAATTTTATTTTTTGAAAATAATTTTTTAAAATTTATTTTTGGTTCAAAAATTACAGCACTGAGTATATAAGTGAGTTTCCACTCTATACATTCAGTGTCCACACATTATGAGGAAAACTATTGTATATTGTTTTTTTTTTTTCAACTTGGAGTCATTGTCAGTCCTGAACATAACCACTCCATTGTTTTTCTTCTCCTCCAGGTGACCTCCCAGCCCAGTACCCCCACCTCCACCCCGGCAAGCTCCAGCCCCAAGCCCAGTCCTGCCACCTCCTCTGGTGCCTCCAGCCCTCTCATAGCCAGGATAGTACAACAGGGACCCAGGGGGACACAGGTATAGGCTGAGATACTTTATTGTATCTAGTCTCTAAAAAAACATACCCAATATTGTTATTATTATTATTATTATTATTATGAGTAGTTTTATTATCATTATCAGAGGGACACAGGTTAAGTATTATTTTATAACTAGGGAGCATAGGTTGAGATACTTTTAGATGTATACTTTTAATTAATCTTGTCTCTAGAAAATATTTAGGTTTTACTATTAAATCTAGTCTGTCTAGAAAATATTTACTTTTTTATCTTCTATTATAATTATTATTAGATATAATTATCATTATAAGAGGGGCAAAAGTATTGCTTTTTACCTTTTTTGCTTCTTGTTGCTTTAGCTGTAAATATCTCATTAAATTTGTATCATAAAATCTTGGCAGATAGAAGATTAGCTAACTAAACTAAACTGATGTTCCTTTCAGCTGATGTCAGTAGGGAATCTCCTAGCAGCTGTTCAGAAACAGCAAAGTGCCCCTCAGGGACAGGGGGCTACCACTATCAAAATACAAGGTATACTACAGCAAATGTTGTCTCTTATGACAATGATGTAGTGATTTAATGCAACTTTAAGTAATGTCTCAGTAAGAAAATGGAAGTTTTCAAGAATTATTTTGTTAAAACAGTCAAAAATGTAAACATTTTAAATAGAAGTAGTATTATTTGTGTAGAGATAGATTGTGTATTTTGCACTTAACCAAAATTTTATTAACCTTTTATACATAAAAACTCCTAAATAAGCTCCTGCATCTTTCTAGGTACCAACATTGTCCACCAGGTGTCAGGCAAGCCTACTCATGTGATCAGTGGAGGGAAGCCAGGGGGCGCCACTGCAGGTGGTGGGAAGCCAATAACGCTGACTCATGTAGGTGGTAAGCCAGCCACTCTGTTACAGCCTGGTGGGAAGCCTGCCACAGTGCTCATGTCTTCCATGGCCAGGAACACTTCTGGGGGAAAACCAACACAGATTGTTTACTCTGCAGGTTGGTGATTAGCTTTTTGCATTTTCATATTTTCCCTAAAGATTGTAAAATAACTCTTTATTTGATGTTATGTAAGTGTGAAAATATTTTTAGAATTTTTATGTTTTTGAGAAATAAAAGAATGAAAATTATTGAATATCCTCTGTTAGGCAAACCAGGCCAGATGGGAGGCAAGCCTCTCACCATGGTAACCCAGATAGGTGGGAAGCCTGTTGCCATAGCAACTCAATCACCAGAGAAACAGCAGCCTGTGACAGGCCAGACTAGGATGGTGATGGGAGGAAAACCTGTGCAGATTGGAGGTGAGTGTGTGCCGTGTGTGACAAATCAGACCAGGGAAGGAGAAAAAATACTTTGTGGAGAAGACTATAAAGTATAAGTTTTTACCATATTGTAATGATCTCCTTGTCTCTGTTGCCTGGGCTAACCAGTTTATTTCTCTGTTGCCTAGGTAAGCCAGTTTATCTGACAACCAGTAAGCAAGGATTTTCTGGGAAGCCAGCCGCCATGACCAGACTTACAACCACGACTGGTATGTTGAAACAAAAGTACCAAAATGGTACTGACAGTATTTTTTGTACCAGATGTGTTCACATCAAAATACTGAAAAGATATAATTTCTTTACCTGCTCACCACCACACAAAACTCAGAAATCTATATTTTAGAGTTTTCAGCCACCGTCCATGGTCTCCATCACTCTGATGCCACCAGGTGGCTCTGTCTTGTACCAAGAGGAGCTGTTTTTTAGGGGAGATTTGTAATTGTGTAACTAATGTTGCTTTTATGAGTGAGCAGCGTTTTATCGAACTCTATTATATTGTCACTACAATATTTCCCTCAAGGTTCCAGTATCCTCCAGGCCCAGAGGAACCAGCCCGTGACCACCGGGAGCCCCAGGACAGGGTCACCTAAGGTGGTGATGTCCCCAGTGCAGGCAGGGCTGATACTGACACAGCTGGCACAGGGACAGGGAGGGAAACCAGGTGGAGTAAAGCAACAATGTGATTTAAAATCAATCAAAATTATGTTGAAGCCCACTTATAATATTGACACAGGTGTACAAAGGACAGAGGCAAAACAGAATTGAATTTGTGTGGTTTTCCTAATGTTCATTTGAAAAAGAAAAGTATTATAATATCAGTTTTAATATTCTTAACATATTTCAGTTTTAAAAATACCTTAAGTTTACAGTTCCCTCTAAACATTGAATGTGCACTACATCACTACATTTTACTTTTTTTTGTATTCCAGCTGCCCAAATCAAACAAACAAGCAGCCAGTCAGGAGGCAACTCAACTCAATTCATTATGCAAACAGGTCAAGGCCAGACCAAGGTCATATCCCCTCATCAAATTGTATCTCAAGGTTGGTATCATTCAGGCTTGTTAAGTAGACATTGGTAGATCGTTGTATAAAAGGCAGAACTGACACTGACTGTTGGTAATTAAGGCAGACCTTTTGATAAATATATTTAAGTATTAACAGTATTATATGTCTGAATTGTATGAACTTAGGTGGAAAGCCCCAGAACATCCAGGTCCTTAGAACGGTGCTTACTCAGGCTGGAGGAAAACCTGGGCAGACGACGTTTGTCATCACCCAAGCTGGACTGCAACAGTCACAAGGTGGCAGCACTAGCCAGGAAGGGACCCAGGAAGAAGCAAGGGGAGTGACCAAAACAACAGCAGCCAGTGTTAAAGTTTCAAAACCAGGTACTGATTAAAGTTGGTTCTTTAATATGATATCACCACTTTTAGTCTTGTAACTTTTAACATTGAAAAAGAACATTTTCCTTTTTGCGATGACTTCACACTTATCACTCTGATTTTTGATAAACCATTAACTATTGATAATTTATATCATGATATTTTTTATTGACTTCAACAACAAATGATTCACCCATCCTTCATGTTTTAGGTAGTGCTCCAGTTTATGCAAGAATAATAACTCCTCCCCCAGGTGTGAGATTGACAGCTGTCACTCAGAGTCAGGCCACACCTACCCAGGCTACAAGTGTTATTCAGCCTTCAGGAAAAATACAGACCTCTACACCTCCAGTCACAAAAACCAGTTAACTTTTATAGTAACATGAAATTTATGGCATAAAGCATTGGTTTGATATGGAGGTCATAATAAATGTAATATCTGTAAATAGAGTCAAGACATTTTACGATGTGGTACAGAATGTTGGTACCACATTGTGGATTTAATAACATATACTTCTATTTAGATATATGTGTGTATAAATGGGATATTAAAATTTTGGTACCAGATTTGCAAAAGGTTGTACAATAAATTAGTGTCTGTGAGCATGTTAGATATAAATAATGTGGTTATGTTACACATTGCATCGTGTAGATTTGGCATGTTGGGCATTGATGCTACTCGTGAATATAAATAACACATGTTGGATATGTGTATTTTTGTGCTTTTTTATTCATGGTTATGTAAATTGTCTAACATATATTCTTTATGAATTACAGTAGTTGAGATATAATCATGGAAAGTAATGGTAGTAGTGTCCTGTTGTCTTTGTGAAATCTTGTTATATGCTTCAGGATAACATGTACATGTTTCTCTGTGCATTTTATATGTCACTTTGTATGAATAACATTAAATAGGTAAACAAAAAAAAAAAAACCTTCAACACTGCCTGCACTTCTGATTTAGGTGTACAGAAAAGTTTTGAAGTCAGTGTACATGGTACTTTTCTGCATCTGCTTTCCAAATTTTGATGATTTGTTGAAACAAAGTGTCTGAATCAAGAATGCCTTTTAACATTGCTCGAAAATTATGACCGAATGTGCCAATATGAGAAGCAGCACTTCCCTGCAAAGAAAATTGGAGATGAAGAGGACGTGACATTTTTAATCAGTAGGTGAAATAAAAAGGGATAATAATTCTTCGTATGAGATGTATATTTCACAGTAAAAACATTGTGAACAACTCATAGAAATATAATGAACTCTGTTTTACCACAAAAACGGCAGTTATAGCTATTATTCTGTCTGAGCTTGTCTTTAGACCACGTGACCTCCATTGAAGGCTATACTTAAGAGATTATAAAAAAAAAAAAAAAAAAAAAAAAAAAAAAACGGGGACTAACTTTGAATGTTCAAAATGGATTCATTAACCATTGGTAAGTATGGGAAAATTGTTGTTTACTCCAGGAGAATTAATTTTTTTGGGCAGAACGAAGAGTTATTATCCCTTTAATAGTTATCATACTTTTAATTTGCATTTTAACAATTTTTTCGGATATCTAACTCAGCACTTTTTTTAAAAGTGTTAAGATACAGGAAATATTTATTAAGGCAAGGTTATTTAGTTTGAATGCAGATATCAGGTTCCTCTATCGCTTATCCATTTCCGGCACAACCTCTAGGTTACAAACCACTATTAAAAATCCCATTCACTTCCATTGTAACGTTTAATTCTCTTAAATATACTTTCCATGCTTCAACAAACACAACACTTCAGATTTAAATACTTCTACTTAAGGCCTAAACAATATTTAAAAAATCAGGGTATATTAATGGGAACGTCTGCCAGTGACATGACATGACCCGTAAGGTGCTGCCGCTAGTCGGCCAAAATAAGCACTAAAATGCAGCAGGGGGGAGGGCATGTAAAACTGGCCCCAGGCGGTACAATTTCACCCTGATATGAAAAATAACACATCAAATTAAAGGTAAATGAACAAATTTATTTCTTAAATTTATTTAAAATTTTTCAAATGATCCAAAATTGAAAAAATAATTTCATTTTTCTCTTATATGCAAATCTTCTTGCTTCAAACTTGGTAAACAAGGAAGGTCGGAAGTGCCGTATAACCTAAATTCAGTTCACCTGGAAGCAGTACTGCATCCCATCCAGAGTGTTAAAGACTTGCTCCACCAAGCGTCTGGTCACCGTGACCCAGCGTCCGGCCATGATGTGACTGTCAATTATTTCGTCCCAGCTTTTCCCACCGTACTCGGTTCCATGAAGGTATGCAAAAAGTACGTCCATGACGACAAAACCCCCTGAAATGTAGGATACAAATTTGAACAAGGGGCCATAGTTGTAGTATTTGGGCAAGGTCTTTGGTCAAAATTAAATCGTGAATCAATTATCTGGCAAGTAAAGTGGGGATATGGAACTACTATTGAAAACTGATGAATGCATTACATGAGAAAACTAGATTTTAGACCAGTCGGACAGTACCCACATCGTACGCATAACAAGCAATTTGCACAGAATCTACAACTTGAATTACCAGTAGGCACCAGTGTTGTGAATCCATTACCACACGTGAAAAACCTGGGTGTCTACTTTGACACCACTCTCTCCATGGATTGAAAAATATCAAACATCACACAATCATGNTTTTGGTAATTCTCTTAGTTATACTACTTGAAACTTTATGCTGGCATTTGGTTGGTTTTTATGACAAAAAATTGACTTTGTATGTATCTTTAAACATGTTCCGATGGGTAAACAAGATATGGCCTATAGGATAAACCACCCAATTCAGCGGCGGTCGATCTTGAACTTAAAACAAAAACGAAACGCTGCCCAAGCGGTGTTATGGGGGAAAGTTTGCGTGCTTATTGAATTTTCAATCGACCTGTATTAGTTGAAAACCCTTTGTCGCCAATTTTTCTAACCTCAGTGGGAAAGTACGTTCATTTACTGCCTGAACCTTTAGCATGAAGTCTTAAGATTGAGAAAGGAATCATTTGTTTAAAATTTATGAGCACTACTTTTGTCTTACCTGGTTTAACAATTCGTATCAGTTCTGCCAACCCACCTCCGTGCACGTGTCCGCATCCTACAGCTCCAGACATAATGACCGCGTCATATGTGTCTGAGATAGAAAAATGAAAAAAAAAATAAATAAATAAAAGAGATTTGTAATCACTGGTCCAGTCCAAATCCAATTTCATAATATAATGTCTCAGTCCAAAACTTAAAATATAAGATAATAAGGCTATCACTTATATTATGCATACATTTTTTATGTTTGTCAGTGCCATTAGTTGTATGCACGTGTAACAGGGGCAGAGTTGAAACGGCCAGTGACTCGACAAAAGATAAACGTGTTTTCCTAGCTGTGTGAGGCCCTGTAGATCTCTAATTGCAGTATGTACTAAAAAGTCCACTCTAAATCTAAGCATTTGCACCGCGTCCCTTTCAGAAAGCACCAGTTTGACTTTAAAAGGGATTTAGCGTCGCAAGACGCGATTAACATGCAAAAAAAGGGACACGGTGCAAACGGCAACTTATGCTGCATGGGTTCATCTGGGCATTTTCTAAATCTCTTGTTGTCCTTTAAGTTCATGCATCAATTAAAAGGCCTACAATGTCCAGTACAAATAATTTGTCAATTTTCATTCATCAAACTGGGTCAAAAGTTAAATTGTTTGCGTTAAATTTATTCAAGTACTCCAAAACGTATCCCTGTTCTAGATCTGTGTATTGGACTGCTGTATTAGAATTCCCATTTTGATATTTGTGACGCAAAGTGCAGAAAACTAAAATATAAACTGTATAATTTATAAAAAAAATAAAATAATCCGATTATTTGGTAAGATATCAAAATGCATTATTGAACACATGGAACTTTAGGCGTGCCCTGTGTACCGTAGTGCAACGTACCATCCGAAATGTCCAATCTATGAGAACCAATTATAGAACACATCGTTTTCTTATAGATGCCTTTCTGTTTTGCCTGCTCAAGCATTTCGCTTGATCCGTCCAGGCCGTGGAGGTTGTGGTAACCACGTCTGAAAAGCTAGAAGAAGCAAAACAGAAACAGATAAGAAGTTACTGTGCTAGCAGGATCAATCTATCTCAGGTCGGATTTTCGCCAAGGCGCAGTCAATGTAATTGTCTGGCACGCCCCCTCGCAAAGCAAGATGGCTTTACCCAAGTACCTTAAGTTACATGCCATATTGATGGAATACAGAAAGTTGCTGATTGTACGTGTACGTTGGAAAGAAGTGGAGGCGTACGTGTTAAGCGAGTTAATCTGATTGCATTTAGCAAGAGTCCCCGCGGAGTTGGATTGATCTTCGTGGAACGATAGTTTCACTGGGATAGAGTCCTTAGCCTTTTCAAAATAATAATAAGAAAGAAAGAAAGAAAATAAAATAAAAATAAAAACGAAGTAATTTACAAAGATACATGTATTATCCCTATTGTTATTCGTTTAACTGTCGTCACCAAGTCTATGGAAGACAAAGATAACCTCATGAATTTAAAACACAGCATGCCACAAGTAACGTACCGTGTATCTGCCTCGTAGCACGTAAAACTGTGACCCTTTTGTATTGCCAAGGCTGTAAATCCACTGTGCTTCATTTCTCCATTTGCTTATTTTACTTGCTTATTTTTCTGTCGGGTGGGGGGTGGGGGGGATGAATATGTCTAAAACAACGGATGAAGCAACCAACGGTAGGTAGTTTTATATACAGCGCAGAGGGTTGGAGAATGGCCAGTCTTTGTCTCGTCTCGTTTTGTTGGTAGTGTATACTACGCCAAAGATGCACTTTTACTTTAGATGTAAAAAAATTGAAAAATCAGGTAGTTAAGACGTGCACTCACTTCTAAGCCCGCCAAACCAGTTCCGCAGGCTGCGTCCAAAATTAATGCATCCTTTTTGTCTTTAAGCAGTATGTCGAGCTCGGAAGCGTTAATGCGGGGTGAGCAGCATACAAGATTTGCCATATCCTGAAATATAAAAATCAATGTACTATGAAACTAGAACCTTACAGTTTCAATTCCAATGACTAACACATCCCTCTTACTTCAGCTGATATCCTATTTTCTTTGACTTCATTCGCTTTGTATGCCTCTGTAACTGCACGTACTGTTGTAATTCATACTAGCAGTAACTCTAGTTCATCTGAAATTATCTTATCTCTCTTTTTTTTTTTGTGTAAATTATCTGTTTCAAAATAAATATTTTGTGGCTTATTGTTACATCAGATTAAAAAACCATACCTTTTCGAAATCCTTTGCCCACGTCCCATACAATTTCTCTACCTTCTCATTTGTGATATCACGTTTCTTAAACTGATCCATTATTAGATGACTTTGCTCCACACGTTTAGCCATTCTTCCTACGCTGAACAATCGTGGACTTACTGTTAGATATTAATTCATTGCTACGAAATACGGCACAGCAGACCTTTAAATTAAACTGTTGTCCTAGTAAAAATGTATGGCGGTAGTGTGCCTATATGGAAAGAACCCACAGTGATAAATTAAACTCAATTTTACTTGATCAGAAAGCTAATTGTTTTGAGATGACACACGCAATACCTGTGTATTACAACTAGGTCAATTAATTGCTGTGGCTTTCTTAATGAGAAAGCATAGCGCAGGATTTCAAACGACGGCGCATGCGCGAAAAGTGCGCTGCTTGAAATAACAAATTGATGAAATTGACAAAGCCTGCCGATATTATTGTGAGACTGAACACTACTCTCCAATGTGTCAGTAATTGTGTCAGTCCAAGCTTCGCTTATTGAATTGTTTTTTGACATTTTATTGGTGTCAAACACTTCAAATATCAGTATTTGTAATTATGATATTCCTATATATAAAAACAACCTCTTGATTAGCGACATGGTGAAAAAAAATTACATTTTGTGTAATTGTGTTATGACGTCTTCACTTTATGCGGCAATCGAATTTTAGTAGAGTTTGAGGTTATAATTGCGTTGCGTTTGCTAAGGCTTTGCTAAGGCAGGTGGGTGTTATCGCACTCGCAAATAGCGCGGAATCGCCATGCTCGAGCCCGCTCGCAACATAGCGAAGCTTTCGAGATTCGTGCCCGGGGCTAGTTGGCCCAGTTAGACACTTTTAGTCATGTAGAGCCAACTAGGAATAAGTTAAGAGTAACAAAACTGGTTTCAAAGTAAGCCCCATGAACTAAGCTATGTATGCAACGTCATTATTTTTTTTAAATACAATCGCAGATGGCTCACCATATGACAGAAAACGCAGTGACGTCAGGGGGGGGCCAACTTGCCCCGGGTGCACATTTTTTATTTTAAAGGATGGCAGCCATTTATGTTGCTAGAATGAGCAACGATGATACATCTCTGTGAATCTTGAAACAATGAGCTTCAGTTTTATGCCCTATACATATATTATATTCTATCAAAAGCCTATCAAAATAGATTTTTAAAAATTTCTTTTAGGTGCAAAAATCGTTTATTTCGACTCACCGCTTAAGTAAAACTTTTTACACTTCCTTAGCATTGCAGGCTACGGTAAATTTACAAGAGTATGTGGCCAATTTTTTTTACCTCGAAGTTACTTTTTCATAAATTGACGGAGGGCCAACTTACCCCGGGGTCCAACTATCCCTGGTCTCCCCTGTGGCCTCTTACAGTCTGCTAACGTCCAAATTTTGCGCAGAATCTCACGTGCCACGCAAGTCCTTCTGCGAAATTTGGAGTTCGAAAACAGCCCGTAAGCACGCAGGAAGGATATGGATCATGTCTAAAAGGTTCTACGAATAATCTGAGAACAGCGTGGCTACAAGCGTAACTTGCGACTCTCGCAAGGAGTTCGCAAGTGAGACGTGAGTGGTCCAAGACGCACGTCGCAAGTAACGAAGAAGCAAGTGCCCTTTGCGTGTTGAGCACGGCACACGCCCATACAGTTAAAGAACAAAATGAAAAGCAAGGCAGGAGTGCGTTGCACGTGCATCACGGTTTGGTTTTTTACCCCGTGTAGCAAAACTGAGCTGAATGTATGCCAAGATAGATGTGCACTGATGTTCTGGCGCTGACGCGTGAATTGCTACTGTATCTAGATTCTGTCCAATTTTCCGAGGTCTGGCAACGCCTTATTGTAGAGAGACAGCGAGAGGAGACAGCGTAGGAGGAGGTTGGAAGCGACTGAGCACGGAGCGAGACGTAGTTAGGGGTTGGAGACTTCACTTAGAACAAGTTGTTACCTAGCGTCGACGAATAAATCGTTTAACTGGTCATTATGTGGACTTGGGTTTTCTTTGTGCGACCTTACGTAAATCTGACACGAACCGTGGAATCTTTGGATGGCGTTATCCACTAAGTTAGACGAAAACGTTATGTCCTATTTCGAGCCCACGCGTACAAAATTATATAAGTTTAGGACATTCGTCATAGATATATGTAAAAGGTTCATTACATTATGTTATATCTAACATATAAGGTTATTGGATAATGCATTCTTTCTGTGAATTACGATTGACCAATTATGGCACTGATGTCCTATAAGAATATCCCATACTTCTGCGCAAAAGTCTATTTCCTTGACTAGTGATAAAATATTAATAAAATAAGATGCAACATTTTGCCTGACTCAATAAACGTTTATTCATTTAGAGTTTAAACATCTAACGTAATTACAGTAATTTCATTTCAGAAAATAAGTCAATCCTTCAGGTTCAACAGTCCGTGCCAGTCTCACGCAAAACAAATCACGTTTCGGCAATGACCGCATTTATTTTACTTTAAAAGTGTACTGCATTCCGTCCAAGGCGTTAAAGACTTGCTCCACCAAGCGTCTGGTCACCGTGACCCAGCGGCCGGCCATGATGTGACTGTCTATTATTTCGTCAAAACTCTTCCCGCCGTAGTCGCTATCATGGGTATACTTCAAAATGCTGTCCATTGCCACATAGCCTCCTTTAAGGCAAAAGATACGCTTAACTGAACATTTTGCAATGGGTGATGCTGGGGGGGGGGGGGGGCGATCTGGTTAGTCGAAAAGCAGACTAATATCTACCCCAACCCTGCCCCCTGTCGATCGTTTCAATTACTGACAGGCGTTATGACACACTGCACGACCACCGTGTGAAATGCATGTAAGTCGTATGGACGTATATTTCCAGGTACTGCCTAATACAGACACCCTGAGCTTCAGAGATAACTTGCCACTAACCTCTTCACTATATAGCCTATCTTCATCGTGTCAAGTTACCTCTGACGAAAATAGTTTGACCTAGTTTATATAAGCCAATCGAATCCATGTTTCAAAATTTTTCACCAAAGTTGGGTGAAAACGCTGATTGGTTGACCGCCAATCGGCAATCCTCGGCTGATTCCGCAAGCTCCATACTAACAACAAAGTTATCGTCCAGTGCGGAGACATCCGAGTAGTTCCAAGTGCAAAACCGTACACAAAGAAAGCATGGCGTCTCCCACGTAAAAAAATGTGTTAAGTTATCTCTTGATTCCGTGCAAAATATGAGTATATCGGAATTGAAACCAGAGCAGTTAGAGCCCCTGCATCATTATCTACTGAGGGATTTTGTATTTTGCGTGCTGCCCACAGGTTACGGCAAGTCCCTGATATTCAGCCTTATCTTTGATTGGTCCGGATTTGAACAAAGCGTGCTTTGACTCGTTCGCGTTCATTGGCTAGATCGTTCAATGAGTCATTGAGTGCGGGCTTTAAATTTGATTGGCGGGCGGCGGGGGCAATCGAATGTGGTCAGAGGTAACTTGACACGATGAAGATAGGCTATATAGTGAAGAGGTTAGTGGCAAGTTATCTCTGAAGCTCAGGGTGAATACAGATGTATTCGTGAAATATTTATTGAAAGAGAAAGTAAAAACTTCCTTTCAGGAAGAAGGTTCCAAATGCCAAAGTTTGACCTACTTTTGAACGTTACAGAAATGAAACAAAATATTGCACTATAATTATCGTACCCGGTTTAACAAGGCGTATCATTTCTGCCAATCCACCTCCATTCACGTGTCCACATCCTATAGCTCCTGACATAATGACCGCGTCGTATGTGTCTGGGGAAGAAATAAACTTATAACTCTTTGCAATCATTCAGACAGTTCATGTCATATGAAAGATAACATTGGCATCCCTCTTTCGTTCTGTAACCTTAATGGTGAAACTGGAACTAAAAGCCCTGTCACATGGGCGGAAATTATTTAATGAATAAAAAAGTAAATACTTAGTAGAATAAGTGAATAACAATTTCAATTTAGCTTAAAAGTCTTCTATTCTTAATCCTTATATAGTATAATTAAAGAACAATGAACATAATTCTCAAATGCCATCTTAATTTTGCCACAATGATCATCTGCATTGCATGGTATTGGTATGTGCTAATTAAACCGGAGGGCAACTTTTTTGAGAACAATGCTATCAGTTCATTTGCACCTTGACAAGCTAACACAGAAAGTTTTGTAACGTTACCATAACGTAACCATAACGTTTTTGGTTGTATAAACGTTATTGTAACGTTGTAATAACGTTCTTCGTTCCCTGGGCTGTTCCACCTGTGTAGTGGCTTGCAATACGTCTCTTACTTGTACATTATTGTCCACAAAGAACATTTCGCAAGGCCTACAATTTGTTAGAAATTATATCTGTTTGCCTTTAACTTTCTTCTATTAATTAGTACGTACCGTCGGCGATATCTACTCGATCAGGCCCAATGAAAGCGTGGATCAGTTTCTTGTAGACACCTTTCTGTTTCGCCTGCTCCAGCATTTCCTTGGAGGCATCCAGGGCGTGGAGGTTGTTGAAACCACGCTTTGAGAGCTGAAACATAGAATTACGCGAATGATGAATTCGAAAAGTGTTCGAAAAGTGTCAATGGGGAAGGGAGGGGGGCAGGGTTTTGCTTAGTAGGTTAAGGGAACGCAAGGATAAAATGATTGCATACACGCTTTAGGGAATACCATGTAAATACCACTCGCCTCTTGTCCCACCAACCCAGTTCCACAGCAAACGTCCAGAATGAGGGCATCTTTCTTCTCTCCGAGTAATTTCTCCAGCTCGGCAGCATTATTACTGGGACAATAATANGGGGGGGGGCAGGGATTTGCTTAGTAGGTTAAGGGAACGCAAGGATAAAATGATTGCATACACGCTTTAGGGAATACCATGTAAATACCACTCGCCTCTTGTCCCACCAACCCAGTTCCGCAGCAAACGTCCAGAATTAGGGCATCTTTCTTCTCTCCGAGTAATTTCTCCAGCTCGGCAGCATTATTACTGGGACAATAATATGTGAGGCCAACTACATCCTGGTAATTAAAAAATTCTGTCACTAAAATTTGACTTATCATATCATATTACCTGTACTGAGCAAAAATGTAAACGTCTCATGAGAATTATAATTATTAATGCAACGCGTAATGGGCCATGTAAGCTGGGTCATCCATTTTTATATCATTTTTACAAATCTACACACCGTACCCTTGCGGGGCGGGTGTCTGGAAAAAGTCTAGTCTTTGTAGATTTGTGTGAAAATGATAATGGAAATGGATGACCCTGTGGTTGGGTGGCGTCATATGCATATGCATATGCATATTATATGCATATGCATATTATTAATGTTTTTCTATTGTTTAAATTGTTCATAGGATTATCTATTAACATTTGCTTTCTCAGCAACTTAAGAATTTATGGTCAATTTTCTAGTGAGATGAAATTTTATGAGTTAAAATAAAACAATTATGGTGTATGCATCACACGGAAATGCAAACTCCCAAACAAAGTAACAAACCTTTTCATAATCTTCAGCCCATGATGTGTAGATCTTTCCGACCTCGTCTCTGGCCATGCCACGTTTTTTGAACAGGTCCACAACTGGATGGCTTTTTTCGACTTTTTCAGCCATTCTTTTAGTGAATTATTAATTCTAGACGTCTTAGGTACTTAGACGCTACTGTACAGCTGTCCTTGGAGTCGTCTGCTGCGGAAGACCGCTTGGGTCATAAAGTAGGATTCTACATGGAAGGCGTGGGTGTAAGGCAAAGGAGGGAAAACGTTATCATTTCTTCTTGTTTTAAATTATTTTTATTCTTAAAATTGGACCCATCATGTTCACAAAACTCCCTTGCCCCTAAAATCACCGGTATTTTATGTATTTTGTACTAAGAGTGACATAATTGGCTTAAAATTCATTTACCCCTATACAATCTTCGGTCTCAATTACTGATAAAAACGGTGCTGGGTAAACCAATGTATTTTATATAGCCCCTTGACAGTCTATATTTATCTTCTCAAAATAGTGCGATAGATATATGTGGATAATGTCTAACATCGGCAGATGGCGTATTCTCATTGGCAAGATCATGAACTAGTGCATTTGTATTTTTGCTGAGTAAATTGATATTTAATATATATAGCAAAACTGTCAATGTTTTTTCACTCCACATTAATGTAGAGTTCAAATGAACAGCTTACAACTTTATACTTGTGGCCAGCGGAGTAACATGGCATTCATTCCACATGAAAATTCTCGCTGTTAACAATAAAGATTTGGGTGATAAATCTGGCATAGACATTTTAATTTTATTGGAATATCCAATAAAAATTTATATGTGGTCCTGGCTGAGGGAGCCCTTCCTTACAAGTATAGACTTTATTGTTTAACTGCCACCGATTTTTAAACCCTCTTTTCGCCACCATCAAGAGACAGAAGCATAAATGATTTGGGCACGTCACTCGAAGTGACAGCCTATGCTAAGTACTAGTGCCGTCGAAGGAGGACGAAGACACGGACGACAACACAGAAGCTGGTCCGACAACGTAAAGAAGTGGGCAACAATGATTATATAACAGCTCCTAAAGCAGGCCACCGGCAGACTAGACGACGTAACAGCCAAGGGAATGATTGATTGGAATATAATTTTAAAAGGAGCTTTAAAGTTTTTATTCCTTCTGTAGTCTACGATAACCTAGCCCTTTTGTCTTGCTCGCATTCAAGGTTAGTTAAAATTTACCCCTAGTTCCGGTGTAATAAATTCCGGTATTCGACATTTGTTAAACAAATGTTTGAACTTCATATATGTCATTGAATATGTGCAAATTACATAACACTTTTTTCTTAAAATGTATTTGCTTAATTTTGAAATTGGTATATAGAAAATATTTAACTTATGCACTGATTGTATTATTAATTGATGTTTATTTACTCAGAATATTAACATCTAGCGCAATGACATTAAATTTCATTCAAGAAAAAGTCAGTCCTTCAGTTAGAGAAATCCATGCTAGTCTCACGCAAAGCAATCACATTTCGGCCATGACCGCATTTATTTCACTTGAAAAGTGTACTGCATTCCATCCAGAGAGTTAAACGACTTCTCCACCAAGCGTCTGGTCACCGTGACCCAGCGTCCGGCTATGATGTGACTGTCTATCATTTCGTCAAAACTCTTCCCGCCGTAGTCACTATCATGGTTGTACTTAAAAACGTAGTCCATAGTCACGTAACCGCCTTTAAGACAAAAGAATAATACGCTTAACTGCACATGTTGCAATGGGTGATGGGGTTGAAAGTGTTATCACTTGACTTGAAAAATATGTCCAAGCGAAATGTGGACTGATGTCCACCCCCACCCTCCCACTCCCCGTGAGCCTCGTTTTAATTACTGACAGCGTAATGACACGATACCCTACCACCGTGATATATATATATATATATATATATATTACGTGTAGTACGTTGTATCTTGTTTATCAGAGACGTATTTGTAATATATTCATTTAAAAGTAAAAAAAAATTCTTTTATTCCTCCAAGTCCAAGGTTAGGTTGACAATAAGCTTCCGAAAATGGTATTAAGATGTCAAAGTTTGACTTACTTTTGAACGCTAAAGAAGCCAAACAAAATATTGCAAGTTATATTTATCGTACCCCGTTTAACAATACGTATCAGTTCTGCCAATCCACCTCCGTCCACGTGTCTACTTCCTATAGCTCCAGACATAATGACTGCATCGTATTTGTCTGGGGGAGAAATAAAGTAAAGTAAAAAGTCTGCAAACATTGAGACACTTCATGTCAAATACAAGATAACACTGGAATTCCTCTTTCAGGAACATTAATGGCAACGCCCCGTAATATCGACAGAAAATGTTAAAACTGTTATCCACTAAGCTGTAAAGGGGAAACAGTTTTATGAGCTTTTGACGCACTGTCTATTAGAAATGCAGGGGCGGATTATTTGAAGAGGGGGTCTGCGGATGCGAAGCCGACCCTCCCCCCCCCCCCCCCATCATGTTGGCGTGGGGTACGGGGTATAATTCCTTGGTATTTTAGAGGGCGAAAGGTGCCATTTAATACAGTTAAGAACTATGTTTCATCCAATCAAAAATTCCTATTTCAAGCGGGGACCATTTGTGTGATATTTTCCAGAAATCGAAAGGGACCCTCTGCGAGTAGTTAATCCGCCATTGAAATAAAGCCTGTTTGCCTTTTAACTCTATTAGTACGTACCGTCGGCGATATCCAATCGTTCAGGCCCAATGAAAGCTTGAATCAGTTTCTTGTAGACGCCCTTCTGTTCTGCCTGCTCCAACATTTCCTTGGAGGCATCCAGAGCGTGGAGGTTGTGGAAACCACGCTTTGAGAGCTGAAACATGGAACAATTGAAATAATGAAAAGGGTTGGCCCGTTCACGTGGGAGGGGGGGGGGGAGTGGGGAGGGGGCAGGATTTTTATTAGGATGTGAAGGGGGTGCAAGGATAAACGAAGAAAGATGGGCAAATGCATGGTATGCAGCAATCTTACTATAATATATTGGAGACAGAAATGAAAAATTCTTGATCCTCTCTTTTTATTTTTTAAGTTTATACCCTAAAAAAGCTGAAGAAGAAGAATTTGCCTTTGAATCTGTCATTGTTGTTTGTTTATAAACAGTTTGTTTAAATTACACCAATATCCCCCTTTTGAAATTAGAATTTTGAAGAGCTGAATCAGTTCTTAACTGCACCAAATGGTACCCGTTTGCCCTCCAAAACACCGAACCCCACACCAAGAGGCAAGGGTCGGCTTCGCATCCGAGGCCTGTCATACCTAAAATAAAAACTGGACCCTCTTCAAATAACCCTTGATCCGCCCCCCGTCTTTGCCTCTAGTACATCGGAACTCTACCAGCTGTTTCGATAACGACTCGTACCTAATCACCAATCACTCTCAAAATGCAGTGGTTGGGATGGCAATTGTGTTAGTTGAGAAAAAGGTAAAAGAACACATATTCATAGGTTGCCTTTTTCCTTTGACGTCAGTATACCATGATGCCATTCAAATACTACTCGCCTCTTGTCCCGCCAATCCAGTCCCGCAGCAAACGTCCAGAATGAGGGCATCTTTCTTCCCTCCAAGCAGTTTCTCCAGCTCGGCAGCGTTATTACTGGGACAATAATAAGCGAGTTCTGCTACATCCTGGGAAGAAAAAGATCGTTTCACTAAAAATGACACATCTAACGGCCTGTACTGAGCAAAAACGTAAACACGCCATATGAATTATTTATATAACATGTAATGGGCTACCTAAGGGTTCATCCATATTATCGTCGTTTCCACATATCTACAAACCGTACGCAAGGGGGCGGGGCAGGTAAAAGTCTAGTATTTGTAAACTTGACGATAGAAATGAATGATCCCTAAAGTTTTAAAGGTCAACATTTTAGAAAAAAAATTCAGTCCATATATATATAAAATACATACAATTAATATCAACAAAACATATGCACTAAGATAAAATACTCTTCTTTTTCTGCTTTATCATCACCTCATGCGCTTCAGCACACAAGGGGTCAATCGTTCATTACCAATTCTGCAGCATCTTTAATTGGTTCGAGTTTGACGCCATTACCTTTGACACCATCGTAGGTCGATGTGTCACTGGGAATGCCCCCTAATTTAGTGACTGGCGTCTGTAGATAAATTGATTTTTTTTTAGAATTTGGAGGCTAAAAGCACCAGAGTTGTCTGGTTCTAATAGCGAGGTCCGATGTTTTGTTCGTGTACTGCGTTTAACCCGTTCAGAGGTTGGGTTTCGTCATATTTTTAATGCTTCGTTATTCTTTAGATTGTTTATAGGATTATTTCTTAAAATTTGCTTTCTTTGCGACGTAAGACTTTGTCGTCAATTTTCTAATGTGATGAAAAGTTATGGGGTTAAATGAAAATCTACAATATGGTGTGTGCAACACACGGATCTGCAAGCTCTCGCCAAGTACCAAACCTTGTCATAATCCTTAGCCCAAGATGCGTAGATCTTCCCGACTTCGTCTCTTGTTATGCCACGTTTGTTAAATAGGTCCACAATTGGATGACTTTTTTCCACTTTTTCGGCCATTCTTTTAGTGAACTATTGCCTGCAGTCGTCTTAGGTACCTAGACGCTACTGTTCAGCTGTCCTTGGGGTCGTCTGCCGCGGAAGACCGCTTTGATCATTAAGTAGGATTTTGGCTCGAAGGCGTGATTGTAAGGCAAAGAAAAAAAAACCGTTATCATTTCTTCTTGTTTTTAATTATTTTTATTCTTAAGGATCGGGTGAACCATGTTCACAAAACATTTCTGCCACTGAAATCACCGGTACTTTGTAATTTGTAATAAGATAGGCATGAAGAATAAAAAATTATTTAGGCTACCGGGTTACAATTGTCGCTCGCAATTATTGATAAATATCGTAGTGGATAAACCAATGTTTTTTATAAAGTGCCTCCGACAGTCCATATTTACCTTCTCAAAGTAGTGCGATAACTATGTGTGGATAATGTCTGACATCGGTACAGGTGGCGTATTCTCACTGGCAAGATTATGAACTAGTGCATTTGTATTTTTGCTAAGTAAATTGACATTTAATACATATAACAAAACTGTCATTGCTTTATCACTCTACGTTAATGTATAGTTCCATTGAACACCTTATAACTTTATATTTGTGGCCAGCTGAGTAATGTGACATTCATTCCACATGAAAATTCTCGCTGTAAACAATATAGAAAAATGGGTGATAAATTAGGCAGAGGCATATATGTGAACATCCAATAAAAATTTATCTTTGGTCCTGACTCAGGGAACAATAACTTATAACTTTAGACTTTCTTGCTTAACTGTCACCGAATTTTAATAGCCTCTCCTTGCCACCACCAAGAGACCGAACCTTGTCTGGTTAGGGCAGGTCACGTCGAAGGAGGACGAAGACGCGGACGACAAAACAAAAGCTAGTCTGACAACGTGAAAGAGTCGACAGCAGTGACTATGCCACAGCTCCTGAAGCAGGCCATCAACAGACCAGACGATGTAACAGCCAAAGGAATTATTGATTTGAAAGAATTTTAAAAGAAGCTTTTAAATTTTGATTCCTTCTGTAGTCTACGATCACCTAGCTCTTTTGTCTTGTTGGCATTCAAGGTCAGGTAAAAATTATCCCTAGTTCCGGTATAATATCCCGGTATTTGATATATTTGAAAAAGATTTGTGGCCGTTATTTTATGTCAATTAATATGTACAAATTAATAACACGTGTTCTTGAAATAAATTTGTTTTATTTTTAAATTGGTATATAGAAAACTTATCTTATGCACTAATTGCATGAAATGGCGTGGAACTGCACAGCTTAAAAAATAACTAGACGGTAGTAAAGACGTCAAGTCACGTGGTTGGTACAGATTTTATTTTTATTAAGTCTATTTATTTTGAGAGAGTAGCAAATGTCATGAGCAACAGCTCCACCCGGTTCACTGATTTTTTTTACCAAGCAACTCCAGGTTTATAGTTGTTAAGGGTAATAGTCGGTTTTTATCAATCTTTTATCCTTGATATGTATCTCCTTTTAACACAGTCTTAAACTTATTCATCTCTCACTATATACTTTTTAATGCTTTTATCAATACAACGACACTTTAACAGGTAGTGGACTTCCATGTTATATATTTATTGGCTAAATAATTTTTTCTAAAAGCCATGGTGGGATTGTATTTAGGGTCACACTGTAGCAACTGAAATGCGGCACAATCCTATCTTCGCCACTGCATTTACTTCACTTGAAAGCTATACTGTACGCCACTTAGTCTATTGGACAACAGCTCCACCCGGCGTCTGGTCACCGTGACCCAGCGTCCGGCCATGATGTGGCTGTCAATCATTTCGTCCCAGCTCTTATCGCCGTATTCACTTCCATGTGTGTACTTGTCAATGCTTTCCATGACCACGTAGCCGCCTTAAATTAAAAATGGAGATTGTAATTAATTCTTTTCTGTCATTTTTGGGACTTAATTTTGCCATATTTCGAGGTGGAAGAATAAAGATCGGAATTAGTCTGTCTGACGTTCCCGGAATACCATATTCTAGCGGAATCGGGGATCGTCTTAACATTTATTATATTGTCAGTCTGTAGGTCTACTATTCCTGGTACAACCTAATCTTGCTTTAGGATATTTGTCCCACGTCAAATGCCATGTTTACCTCGTATTATCGCCTGATATCTTCTTTGCGAATATTTTTCTAGCAGGTTATAAATGAGGGGAGTGGGTTGAAATATAACTAAGTCACAAACTAAGTCATTTACTTGACCAATGAGCAATCTTGTTTCATAACGGTATATAATATCGACATTATTTCAGGTAGCAGTCATTTGACTGCAATCCACTTTCTGCGATAACTGGTCAGCACATCCAGCGATAAACGGGGTTTCAGAAGTATTAAAATATATACAGACTACGATAAACCGCCTTACTCTTGAAATTAAAACAGTAATTTATTTATTTATTTATTTATAAGAGTTTCCGACAGTTCATTTTATCTTACCAGGTTTAACAAAACGTATCATTTCTGCCAATCCACCTCCGTTCACGTGACCACATCCTACAGCTCCTGACATAATGACCGCGTCGTAAGTGTCTGGGGGAGAAAAAACGTAATTAAAAAAAAACACTCTCCAATCATTTGGGACATTCCGCATTGTACTGATATATAACATTAAACAGATTAAAGTGGGAGCAGATATCATAAGCTTTCTACATTTATTCTATAATACATGTTCCACAAGTAGACCTACTCACCGTCGGCGATGTCTACACGGTTGGTACCAATAGTGGCATTGATCAGTTTCTTATACAGGCCCTTCTGTCTTGCCTGCTCAAGCATGTCCTTGGACGCATCCAAGCCGTGCAGATTGTGGAAGCCTCGCTTTGAAAGCTGAAAAATGCAGAGCGATTAAGTAAAAAGCACATCTGTTCACTTAGAATCTGAACTGTAAAATTGGTAGTTATTAACTTAAAACAGGTAAAAGATAATCTCAAAAGCAATACAGGCCGATGTCAGTTTTTTTTTTTGGGGGGGCGTCTCAATAGTTCGAAGGTTCTTTGGTCCGAAGGATCGTTGGTCCGAAAAATGGTAACATTTTCATCGGTTTTCTAATCAAGGTTTCGTTGGTCCGAAGGTTCCATAGTGAACATTCGGACCAATGAACATTCGGACTTTTGAACCTTCGGACTATTGCTACGGCCCCGATTTAGGACATATACATGCAAGTGACACTAACACTATTCACTCTCTTTCTCCCATTTGGCCTTTTGATGCAGCCGATGGGATCACTATTTTGTAAGTTTGGCAAAAGTAAAATAAATCATATCTAGATTTCAGTATTTTTCTTTCGTCATACAAGCTTTAGGGAATAACATGTAATTAGGGGAGACCGGGGCTAGTTGGACCCCGGGGTAAGTTGCCCCCCCCCAAAAAAAAAAAATGAAAAAGTAACTACGGGGTGAACAAATTGATCACATCATTTAGTAAAGTGACCGTATCCAATAGTGCTAAGAAAGCGCAGGTCGTAAAGAAGTTTTATTTAGGCAGTTTTATTTAGGAGTTCAAATGAAAGAATTTAGCATCTTAAAGTAACTTTATTAAAGAGACTTAAAAATGTCTTTCATATGCGTTCGATCGAATATAGTATGTATGTATAGGGCATCAATCTGAAGCTCATTGTTTCAAGTTTTACAGAAATGCATCATCGTTGTTCATTCTAGCACCAAAAATGACTGCGATACTTTAAAATGAAAAATGTGCACCCGGGGCTAGTTGCCCCCCCCCCCCCCCCCCCTTGACTCGGGGCAAGTTGGAGCCTCATATAGACCACAATCCTTTGCGTGCAACAGAGGTTAAAACAAATTTAAGTTTAAAACTAAATTTGTTAGTTTTGTTTAAAACGAAAATTTATTATTCGTTTTCATTCATTGAAAAATCTGCTTTATATCATTATTAGTTTATTTTTAATTAAAACAAAAGTTTTATTAATAGATATTTTGGTTCGTGCAACACACACCGTGACGTACAGAAACCTCAATAAATCTGCTTCATTTGAACTATTTATTTATAAAATCCATTTAATAAATCAAAAATGTGTAAAATGTATTTCAAAGCGTTTATATGTGATACTTACTTCATTTTCGTATAGGGTGTCAACTTGCCCCCCTGACGTCAATTGCGTTTTGTTTTTTGTCAAATTGTGAGCCACCTGGCATTATATTTGAAAAATAATGATGTTGCACACGTAGCTAAGTTCATGAGGCTTACTTAGAAACCGGTTTTGTTACTCTAACACATTCCAAGTTGGCTCTACAAGGCAAAAAGTGTCTAACTGGGCCAACAAGCCCCGGGCTCTGTAACTCAAAAGCATCGCGTATTGCGAATAGCGATGTCACATAGAGGCTACAGTGTATTATATGTGGCGAGTATGGGCGAGTTATGGAATCGAGACGCTTGCGCTCGGTCGCAATGGGTGATGCTTTCGAGATACGGGCCCCGGTCATCCCTACTACTCGCCTCTTGTCCCACCAATCCAGTTCCGCAACAAACGTCCAGAATGAGGGCATCTCTCTTCTCTCCGAGTAATTTCTCCAGCTCTGCAGCATTATTACTGGGAGAAAAATAGCTGAGGTCTACTATATCCTGGAAAGTAAACGTGTACTTTAAACGACGCTTCCTGAAACCCGTCTTGATCTCAGTATAGGATTGGTAACGTCATATTTTCACTTTCTTTTTTGATCATTTATAAAAGAAAATTCTACCGCACAGAGAACGAGTCTCATTTTGTGAAATGTGCCTTTTTACCAACAACATGTGTAATGTATGTTGTTACGAAATAGCTGAATTAAATGGATCTATAAACAATACAATACAACACTGTTATGCAAATATGCACCATACGACTGTAGTAGCCTCTACCAGGGTCACAGATGGATTTTTCAAATGTCATCACAGAAATAACTTTGGCTAATTCATGACTAGGATTCTCTACTGTGTGATGTGCAGGAAAAATACATATAATTAAGCCGCGATCCCGGATGAGGGAACGGCTGCGCGGCATTTCGCCAAGCATCAAACCTTGTCATAATCCTTGGCCCATGTTGAGTATAACTTGGCCGTCTCTTCTCTGGTGATATCACGTCGTTTGAACTGGTAGAGGACCGGGTGGCTTTTTTCCACTTGTTGTTCAGCCATTATTCTTGTGAATTGTGAAATCCTGTACACTTACAGTCTATATCCCTACTGAGGTCAGTAGCGTTCAGGGCATAGATTTGGTCGCAAGGCAAAGCAAAATAATTATGTTTCATCGTTATCAGTTTCGCATACCTCTTCTGCCACAAAATTTGGGTACGTGGAATATTCATATTTTACTTTGGTTCGAGTTCAAAGTGATTGTTAATTTTCTGTATGTTTCAAGGCCTCAAGGACATTACAAATACGTTTAAAACTTGATTTTTGTTTTTTATATGTTGGAAATATTAAGTTATATTTTTGCAACATGGACTAAAAATAAACAGCTTTTCTGCCTGTCCTGACTGGTACGCTTGGCAGCCTAGCTTTAGGCTACACCTCCGTTGTCAATCACCGTTACTATGGGGGGCGTCTTGGTGTGTAGAGCGGCGTCCACGCACGTCGGATGGCATTGTCCTCTGCTTGCACCTCAAGTAATTTGCTTTTTGTTTGTTAGCGCTTCCTTAACAGTGCACAAACTCCTACTGCGACAGAGACAATCATATTTAATTTCGTCAGTGAAACGAGAGTACAGTAGGTACTCAATTTATTTTATTAGAGTCTCGCCCATAGGATAAAATATAAAAACAACAAAAGTTAAAACATTCATAACAACAGGCAGTTCTATAGAGAACTATGAGAGACCAAAAACTAATTACAGTTTAAATACATAAAATTTCTTCTTAATCCTAAGAAAAGGCTACAGGCTTTGGCAGATAGCTTTAGAATAGAATAAATAGAATTTAATATTCAAACGCAGTCGATACAGATGTTTTTCAGTTATACAATGCGGGCAGCTTTCCATTACTTATTTCCTACACTGTACACATGTTTTATCCTAAAGCTACCATGCAATGCGGGCAGCACCAGCACTAGCACTAGGTGCCAGCAGACGACAAAGCAGATTCTAGGTAACTAACACTTCAAAACTGCTTCACAAACGAAAGGATGGCTAAAATAGAGGAGAAAATGCTACCAATTTACGTTGAGCTTAACAGACCAGGCATCACAACTGAAGAGGTGGAGGACGTTTATGCCAGATGGGCCAAAGATTACGACAAGGTGAGATAATCCACTTTTTTGTCCTTGCATGGTGACACTGCATGGACGCGAAGACAAAGGCATATTTGAGGAACAAACATTGTTCAATGCACTTCCCCCTTACCATGTTTTCTCACTGTCTCTCAGAGTTGTCATCGGTTAACGTCAACATGCACAATCAGATAAATCTGACGTATTATGAAGTTTTATGATTTGTAGACTGCATTGACACACTAACTGGTTAATTCTGGAACTTAAGCTCGTTATTCATTATCGTTTTTTTTCTTGTCGGGTTTCTTTCTGAAAATGTCATCTAGTACTAACAGAAAAAAGGGAAAAAAGAGACAAAATAGACAGATAAAAGGAAACACCGACATGACCTCCTTGGCGGAGGTGAGAGATTTATGCATTGAATACAAACATGATAAAACGTTCAGATGATATTGTTGAACGCAAATGTTAAATTTTTTAAAATATCTCTTTCAAGGATATGGCAGATCTCAATTACTTCGTGTCAAGTAACAATGCTTATGTGGTGGAGAAAGCGTTAAAGCACAAAAATGATGCCCTTATTTTAGATGCCGCCTGCGGGACTGGTTTAGTTGGTGTAGAAGTAAGTGGTTTTCTTTTGAATGAGTAATATATCACAGTACATGCAAACTAGAAAAATACTGAAAATATAAAAGCACGCAGAGAGCGCAGACCTACGCCAATGATGGATCGTGGTAGTTGAGAGCACAATCATTGCAAAGAATGTCAAGGTCATTGGTCCTATCTATCAAAGGCTAATAATCCTTTCCAAATTATTTATACAAATGATGAACTGCATCACCACCAAAAATTATTCACTTTTCAGCTAGCCTACTCGTGACCATCTTGACAATTTCATTGAAACCCAGCCGTGTTTTAATGTAGTTGACAAACAAATAAACAGGAAAATAGACAATACATATTGGTGGAGGAAATAAAAAACGAGCTAGATCAACCTGTTGTGCGAAATTTTGCGACTGGTTGAAGTTTAATTATTTAAGGTTTGGTGTAAAATCATTTCATCTGCTTCAGTTTGACTATTTTTTTAAAGCTAAAATAAACTGTATTCTATATGTCTTAGCTAACAAAGCGTGGTTTCCACAACCTCCACGGCCTGGATAGGTCAACTGCAATGCTTGAGCAGGCAAAACAGAAGGGCATCTACAAGAAAATGATGTGTTCCTCACTTGGCCCAAACAGGTTGGGTATCCCGGACGGTACGTATCGATTGTTGTGATGTTTACTCAGTACGTAAACAGTTCTGTTGCTATCTGAGTTGATTGTTGGGTGGAACATTTACAGTGAATGGCTACGGGTCCTCTGTGTTCAAATTTGCCTTGTGAGTGTTTCAGGACGTGTGCAGTGTACAGTTATTCGTATTGACCGAACTTGCCTTGAGAAACCAAACTTGATTTTCAAGAGAGCGTGTCGTGACTTCTTTTGTCACTAAACCCAAGGTTTGTTTCATTATTCAAGTTGAGAACGTGGTAGGTATTATGACATTGATTGTCTTAATTCAACGGGAGAAGTGAGATTTAAAAAAAAATTACTATCTTTCTTGTAACTTCCAGATACATACGATGCAGTTGTCATGTCCGGGGCTGTTGGTTCTGGACACGTGGACGGAAGTTGCTTGGAGGAATTCATTCGCATAGTTAAGCCAGGTTAAGTGATATTGGTTACAATTCGAAGAGTGAACCAAGAACGATTATTCTCAACGGCTCATTTTTTCTTAATCTAGATTATACCACACAAATCCCCAAGAGATAATTTCATTTCGACATATGTCTTTTTTTAGTTCCAGCCATCATGTTTTGATAGATTATGGTTTCAACCGCGGACATCAAACGTCCTGGCTTCATAAATGTCGCAAGAGTCCAAATTACCTGGTAAAACAAATGCAAAACCAGTTAAACAAAGGTTTCGTCAATTGCCTCAAATCCTCTTTTTTTATCTTCCAGGCGGGTATGTGGTCATGGACACCACTTTGAAGTTTTTCCACCGTGTTAGTTACCAAGGCAAGAGTTGGGACGAAATAATTGACAACCACATCATGGCCGGCCGCTGGGTCACGGTGACCAGACGCCTGGTGGAGCAGTCGTTTAATTCTCTAGACGGGATACAGTACGCTTTTCGAGTAAAATAGACCTTGTCTTGTTGACAAAGTTTTATGATTTACTAATAAATGGTCTGTCTTAGGACAGATGAACAGCTTATCAACCGGAATCCGTAAAAATAATGAAATAATATCAAATTGCTGAAAGAGTCTTTTCATTATAAATACATTTTAATTCCAGCAAGCATTCTAGTTTTCAATACCAGATAGAATCTTATTATTAGACAATTCTACTAGATTTAGGGACAGATGAGCTCTTTGTGGATTTTTGATGACAACAAATCGACTGTAATACGAATACGTAAAAAGACGGATTTCGATAAAACAATTGCCGGTATTTTGCTGTGCTTTACAGCTAAATCTACGAACCCGGAACCCTATACTTTAATATCATCAACAATTTTCTAAAGTAAATGGACGTCAGCAGGATAATTGTCCTGTCTGTACTTTACTGGGTTTTGGAATTTATGTTATAGTTTGTGAGATTCATAACCGATACAAGTATTACAGAGGAGTTCAGTTAAATCGACCAAAAAAATGGGGCTAGGGGAGAGATATTGTTCAAAGTAGGGAATCTAAATTAAAATTTGTTTCGTTAAGATCTTGAGTGTAATTTTACAAATGAATGCAGCAAACAATGCGAAGAAAAAACTTTTTAGCACATATGAGGGATAAAAAGCAGAAGGAAGTACGAGACAAAACTTGCGCGAGTACAAGTAGGATTATAATAGAGAGGGTAATGACATGTCAACAGAGGTAAATAAGACATTTTACGCTCGGAAAACTTGCACTGAGACAATGTCGCATGATGCAATGGAGGCACTGGTTAGGAAGCTTTAGGAAGCCTTGATAGTATTAGTAGTAAAAGGTGCGCGTGCAGTGAATGAATTGTGCGCACGCAGACTGTTTTCGAAGACAACAGAGCGTAAAACTGAACGCGAAGAACGGACAAAAAAAAAAAAAAAAAAACGAAGTTAAAATCGCTTTTTGACGAATAATATAGACATCTAATAGTGATGATTAACAAACAGATAAACAATTTTAGACACCACTCTTACATCATCTCAACAACTATGAAAGCACCCCCTCGGCTTGTATGCCCCTTTAAGCATTATGTAATATTGAATCAAAATAGAAGAAAACCCTATTTTGTGCACTGCCTCAATAGTGACCATTAAAGGAAAACCATGCCAATAACCCTTCTCAAACTTACAGGAAAGAAACATAGGACTTAAATACAGCTTTACCTTGAAAACAAGCCTGATTGGTTGATTTTTCTGGAAGTAACATGTGTTTTTTGTTTTCAGATATTGGCATTTGCAATGTGTGACTTTGAACCTCCGTGGGCTTGAAGACAGTTCTAATGTACCAATAATATGACGCAAGGTGTCTTCCATTATACTTTAAAAGTATGTAGTGAGGAACAAAAACTAGCCAATGAAAGCATTGTCTTCAAATCATCAAATCATCTTTAGGCAAGGCTTGACATATAAACTAAGACCTGCATAGCATATTAAATTGTGACAAAATGTCCTCTTTTATTGGATTGCAGCAAGCTACACTGAAATGCGACACAATCCTATTTTCGCTAGACCGCATTTACTTCACTTGAAAGCTATACTGCACGCCACCTAGTGTGTTGTACGTCAGATCCACCCGGCGTCTGGTCACCGTGACCCAGCGTCCGGCTACGATGTGGCTGTCAATCATTTCGTCCCAGCTCTTATCGCCGTATTCACTTCCATGTGTGTACTTGTCAATGCTGTCCATGACCACGTAGCCACCTAAATTTAAAGATTAAAAATGGTAAAATTCTCTTTTGTCATTTTTGGAACTTTTGCTATTTTCCGAGATTGACGAATGTAGATCGAAATTTGTCTGACGTTTCGGAGGACCACATTCTACCTTGTCTGGTCTACTGTGTCTGGTACAAGCTAATATTGCTTGAGGATATTTCCCCCAAAGTCGAATGCCATTTTTACCTCGTAGTATCGCCTGATAATGATAGGCGATAACTGATCAGCACATCCAGCGATAAACAGGGTTTCAGAATTATTAAAATATATAAAAGACGACTGGTACAATAAAGTGATTTGCCTTCCTTTTGAAATTTATTTATTCATTTATTTATTCATTTATTTATTTATTTATTTATAAAAGTTCCTGACACTTCATTTTATCTTACCTGGTTTAACAAGGCGTATCATTTCTGCCAATCCACCTGCGTTCACGTGACCACATCCTACACCCCCTGACATGATGACCGCGTCGTATGTGTCTGGGGGAGAAAAAAAGTAAATAAAAACCGGGCCCTCTCCAATATTTAGGTCATTTCGTTTTGTACTGATATATATATATATATAACATTATACAGCCTAACGTGGGGGCAGATACCATTAGCTTTCTTCATTTATTCCATAATAAATGACCCACAAGTACTCACCGTTGGCGATGTCCACACGGTTGGTACCAATAGTGGCATTGATCAGTTTCTTATAGACGCCCTTCTGTCTTGCCTGCTCAAGCATTTCTTTCGACGCATCCAAGCCGTGCAGATTGTGGAAGCCTCGCTTTGAAAGCTGAAAAAATCAGAACAATTACATATAAAAAAAACAAAAAAAACCTGTTCACTTAGAAACTGAAGTGTAAAATTGGTAGTTATTAACCTGAAATACATGTATATAAAAGCAATACAGGCCGGTGTCTGGGTTTTAGGACGTGCACATGCAAGTGACACTAACACTATTTACTCTCTTTCTCCCATTTAGCCTTTCGATGCAGCCGTGGGATCGCTATTTTGTACTTTTGGCAAAAGTAAAACAAAGCATATCCAGATGTCAGTGTTTTTCGTTCGTCATACACGCTTTAGGGAATAACATGAAAATACTACTTGCCTCTTGTCCCGCCAATCCAGTTCCGCAGCAAACGTCCAGAATGAGGGCATCTTTCTTCTCTCCGAGTAATTTCTCCAGCTCGGCAGCATCATTACTGGGAGAAAAATAGCTGAGGTCTGCTATATCCTGGAAAGTAAACGTGAACTTGAAACGATGCTTCCTGAAACCTGTCCTGGTCTCAGTATAGGATTGGTAACGTCATACTTTTCAAATTCTTTTTTGATTATTTATAAAAGAAAATTCTACCGCACAGAGAACGAGTCTCATTTTGTGAAATTTGCCTTTTCATCAACAGCATGTGTAATGTATGTTGTTACGATATAACTTAATTAAATGGATCTATAAACACTACAATACGTTTTTATGAAAGTATGCACCATACGACTGTAGTAGCCTCTACCAGGGTCACAGATGGATTTTTCAAATGCATTCACAGAAATAACTTTGGCTAATTCATGACTAGGATTCTCTGTGATGCGCAGGAAAAAAAATACACATAATTAATCTGCGACCCTGGGAGAGGGTACTGCTATGTGTCATTTCGCCAAGCATCAAACCTTGTCATAATCCTTGGCCCATGTTGAGTATAACTTGGCCGTCTCTTCTCTGGTGATATCACGTCGTTTGAACTGGTCGATGACCGGGTGGCTTTTTTCCACTTGTTGTTCAGCCATTATTCTGGTGAATGGTGAAATCCTGTACACTTACAAATTATATCCCTGCTGACGTGCGTCTGCTGCAGATAACCCGTAGGTGAGAAAGTAGAGTTCGGGGACTTGGACTTGGCCGTAAGGGAAAGCAAAATAATTATGCTTTTTCGTTATCTTCTCACCAATTGTTCCAAATGTATGAGATGCATTGCACTCAAAGTTTCACAAACCTACTCTGCCATTTAACACAGAAATATTATCGTATAAAAGGATTAATTTATTTGCTTGCAATATTCAACATAATAATACTCAATGAATACTGATAAACGAATCATTTTCGTAAATTGACTTACACACCTGTCACTAGATAAAAGCTAAATGGGACATAGTTAAGGTCACGGGGGTCCAGAAACTGGGGCATCAGTCAAAGAGTTCATTCAGATCAGGGGACTAACAGATCCGCGGATCAAATATGGCCGACCTACTTGAACACTTTTAGCGAAATCCCCGCGGGAAATGTATTCAGTGTCTACTCCTGAATTAAGCGGCAACCTTTTTAGTGGGTAACCATATTTGACCTGTTAATCCGTAAGTCACTTTTCTGAATGCTCACTAAGGTGGTTTCGTGTTGTAGTAGCGGGGCGGATCATGAGCTGGGTCCTTTTAGAGACCATTCCCAGAGACTATCGTCTTAACTTTGGATCGAACTATCTGCAAGGGGATTCTCGCTTAATTGCGGTTTGTGAATCATACATTCTATATAATGGTTGATACGACAACGAGTTGAAGCTTACAAAAGTTTATTCACCAACTGATTTTTTCAGACAAATTCAAGTGTATTCATTTACTTGCTTGTACTCTGTTATAGTTAGTTGTACTGTCTTTGATTGTATTTTATTTGTAAAGGTGTATCAATAAAGAATCCATCCTCATACCCTATTTCTCTATTTCGATCACGAATTTACTTCCTTTCGTTACATTGTCTTTTGTCTCGATTACCAAAATTTTTCATTTTGATTTGTCACTCCACCAATCAATATTTCCTTTCAAAACAATCTCTAAGAGCCTTGTATTCAATTCAAAATCTAAAATATTATTTGCATTACCTAAACCTTGAATCGTACCCCGTATCCCTCTGAATTAGGAGTTGCATATCAAAATATAATTAGTGCTGGGGTGTTTCAATGGCCTAGTTAGGTAAGCCAATCCTATACTACCAATATACGATTTGCACGCTGCGAGGTTGCCTAGTTATTAAGAAATAGCAAAATTAAATCTTTGGGTTCCCTGCTACCAATGAACACAAATGCGGTAGGGCCGACGTTGTTTGGTAGGGGAGTATACTATGTTTATCAACAAACGCTTGTAAAAGATAATATGCAATCATGGTTAATTATCTTGAATAATTGATATAATATTCTGAGGCTGCATTCATAACAGTGGACTAACAAGTCTGCAGATCAAATATGGCTGACCCACTTGAAAACTTCCCCACGGGGAACCTATTCAGTGTCTGATAGAGGATTAGAAGGTAAGCTTTTTAGTGGGTCGCCGTTATTGACCCAGGGACTACTTGGTCCACTCTTCTGAATGTGGCCTAGGATAGGAAATATCCAACCCCACAATTTTTCTGCACGTCTGGGTCAGTGCATCTACATCTAGATTAGTAATGTTCTCCTTTATACGAAACTGCATATTTGGTTAACACATTCTTCACCTGTATCTGAGACCTATCATATACATGTGCATCAGTAAGTCATAAATCGGGTTCATGCAACTAGACCGCATTTACTTCACTTGAAAAGCGTACTGCATCCCGTCCAGAGAGTTAAAGGCCTGCTTGACCAGACGTCTGGTCACCGTGACCCAGCTTCCGTTCACGAGGAAGCCGTCAATCAGTTCGTCCCAACTCTTGCCCCCATAACCAACATCATGTAAATACTTCAAAACACTGTCCATGACCACGTATCCACCTGTAAGCGGAAAAAAAAACACTCGAGCAATCAATTTAAACTTAGGCCCGCCTTTGTTTTATCGGTTAATTTAAAAACTTGCAACCTTCGTTAAGACCTTATGTTTGATTTCTGAGGGTGAAACCATCATCTGATATGGCTTGAATGGGCAAAACCAGGAGGGTCAAGTTCCATTTTGGAAATGTTTGGATACACTGAACCCCGAAATGAAATGACCACGGGAACTCCTGAAAGGTTTGTGTGGAAAAATCTAGATTAAAAAAGAACGAGCCCTTTACAACTATCATTAATAGTTCACTCCATAAATTATTGACAATGCCACACTGACTTACCTGGCTTAACGATACGAATGAATTCCCCAAAGCAACTTCCTTCCACTTGTCCAACTGCCACTCCCCCGGCCATTACAACTGCGTCGTATGTATCTGGAAGTTAAAGGAAAGGAAAGCTTTGCGTGGAATTCTCCTTAAGAAATAAGGTGGTCAATGTCGTAATATCCACTACGTTGCCAACTTGAATTTTGAAACTAAGCCTTGATTTTACAATGACACTACAAATCTTGAAGCACACTCTAGGCAAATTTGGTATCCAAGGAATTATAGGACTTCTTAATACTTCCCATGTTCCACCCAAGCTCCATTTCAGAGAGCAACATTTTAAGTGACATGCCTAGGTATAAAAAAGCTATTTATTGCTACTTACTGTCCGGTATATCCAATCGCTCGGGGCCAAGTAAGGTACATATCATTTTCTTGTAGATGCCCTTCTGTTTTGCCTTCTCGAGCATTGCAGGTGACCCATCCAGGGCGTGGAGGTTGTGGAAGCCACGCTTTGTAAGCTGAGATATACGAAATAGGAGGTTATTTTAACGTTTATGTCCTACGCAACCTGCACCAGAATTTCATTGGATTTTGTTCAAACTTACACAGTTTTACACACATTGGGTGAGAACACAATTTGAGTTAAATAATTTTTCAGTTGTTCTTATTATACCCCTCCCCCCCCAAAGAAACTCATAACCAAAAATCTCACTTCTACTCCGGCTAAACCGGTTCCACAGGCGGCGTCTAAAATTAGCGCTTCCTTGTTGTCTGCTAACACTTTTTCCACTTCATTAGCAGTGTAACTTGGTCCAAAGTAATTGAAATATACCATTTCCTTGAAAGAGAGCACATATGCAATCAACAATATAATCTTATTAAACATTTTATCATGTTTACATCTAATGAATACAGCTTGTTTGGTTTATGCTGTTTATAAAGTGCTATTTGTTTTGTATTGCAAAGTTCACTTGGGGCGACGAATAATTGGCTCCCATGTAGTAGGCGAGCTGGTAGTTGTCAACGAGAACCTTAACGAAGACCAATGCATCTAAGTTCTGGAAAAGGAACTTTGGACTACTGTTCGTACAGCCATTGCCAACCAGATCCAGTCCCCACCCCTAACTGGTCAGAGAAATCCCTAAATCAGAATCTCATTAAGAATGTGTGAGGCGGTATGCTCGGAAGAGGGTGATAACTGAAGGATAACCCAGCAAACAAAAGTCGCAAAACTGGTCCACGCACGGTCGTGTCCGGCGTATTCTCTAATACAAAATATACGGTGCAATATACTTAAATGTTTCTTCGATTTTAGCAATGGTTAGCTTATTCATTGGTTGAACAACCGGTGAAATTCTATGTAAAAAAAAACAAAAAAAAAACAAACTTTCTAGAAGTTTAATAATGGGTTGATGACTTGATACTATGTATCATTTTAAGCAGGGGTAACACTGCTGTTTTGGTAGGGGAGTATATATATTCTCAAAAGTGTTCCTCGGCACATGCGATGTCAACTTTTTATACTTTCTAACAAATAAAGTCCTTGGCGGAGGTTTTCCATCTCTGAATGGTGTCTTTGTACCCTGGGTCAGTGGTCTACCAATTATTGAATTCAAAATTTCTAACCAACCTTGATCCTAACCGAAGACGTCATTGAGGTCCAGCGAGAAGGCAAGGTCTATACTGGGACAAAGTTTTACTGAAAATGCTTTTTGCCCCCCCACCCCCAAATAGGCCTTGCAATTGTGACTTGTACTCATAGTGTTACCAAAAACAGGTTCTAACAAATTGATGGATTAGCTCACCTTTTCGTAATCATTTGCCCATCTTTCATACAAGGCCTCTGCCTCTTCGTTTGTGATGCCTGGTTTGTCAAGCTCACTTAAGATCGGCGAGGAAGGCTTTTCCCATATTTCAGTCATGCTTTCTGTCTTGAAGCAGTTCTGAAGTGTTAAAGAAAAACTCTGCCCCGTAGTCTGCTGGAGTCAATTGCTGCCGAAAGATACCAGATATAAAAATATTAGTACATATATGTATAGACACTTATAGCCTATTAGGCACTAACTACTATATAAAGTCTTGTTGTAAATGTAGGTGCCAGCGCCACATTATAGGTGTATGGAACGGTTTTGCTGAGTTAGACATTCTGGTTTCAAATGTAACGGACTTTTTCCCCTAAAATCAACACGCATTCTACATATGATTTCGGTTTATTTTGCCGAACAGGACGTTATATATAACCCGATATGCTTCGCAGAATTTCAGCAGAACAAGTTGTGCACGAAAATAAAAAGGAATTGCTTTTAAAATGTATGTCCACCACATTGTATCTGTAACACTACAAAGGTTTATTATCCCCGGCAGGCTTTTAGGCATCTAATAAAAATGGTAACACTGACTGAGCATGATAGCAGAAAGGTGGGTTCTACTCCCGCAAAAGATAAATTTGCATTTGCAAAAGAATTCAATTTGTATATTTCATTCTCCTATTCCAAATGTAGAAACAAATAATAAAAAAATACCCAAAACTGAATGTGACAACTCTTTAAAAGCCACCCACTGTTTCCAACGAAGTCGTTCTTCTATTCCAAGCGGAGGCATCTTAGGCTGTTAATCTGACTGCTTTCATCGTGGAGTTAATGCGCATTAGTTATATGTACATATACATTTATTTCCCTATAGATCTGTTCTTTTGTCTTTCTTTTTTCCCACACGGGTATATATCTGTGTGTGTGTGTGTGTGTGTGTGTGTGTGTGGCTGGAGTAGTTAATTTGGACATTTGTGCTCACAAATCAGAGGCTCGAGTTAGAAAAGGCCCAATCCGTTTAAAAGGTCTGCCATTATCAACATTCCAGTCATGAAAAAGGCTTGACTTTGTATACGAGATCGTTCATGTGAAAATACAACTGGACAAAGAAATGTACTGGATGACTAACACACAAAGGTGGATGCTATGCTTTAATGAACACTCACGGTGGAGATTGTAACCTTTGGGCCACAAAACAGCCTTGTCCTTGTTTGAACCCTAAGCAGTGAGTGAACATTAAATGATTGAAACTGGTCGTTGTTGTCAGCGTTGGATGTCCTCATAGCGCTTTTCACATAAACATTTTGATCACGAATCTGGAAAGTAGTGTTAACGCGTTATCCAACCAAAAGCTCTACAATGGTGTTTGTATTTCGAGCATGTTTGGGCAGTCCCGGACACGCCGTTAAGGCGCATTTTTTGACAGCACGTGGAAATTATAGTGTTTCAGTTTGTGCTCGTTAGCTAGTTTAATAGTCAAGGTAATGGTCACAATAAGTGGTGGCCGATTGTCACTTTTTTTACTCCAGTCAGTGGCACTTTCAAAGGGTGACGGCGTCTGTTTGTTTCAGTCAGTTTAGAGTCAACAGTGTAAGCTACCAACTAGAACGTCAATGCCCTGTTTTTATTCAAACCTGTCCTTCTTTGACCCTCTCATATTACAGGAGCCTCTAGCATTGCATAATTTTGTAAGGGATTGCCAGTGGCCCATGTAATCAGATAGTACCCTTCCTTTGTCTGGATCGGCCAAAGTATACCAACCCCGTGTAACAAAATGTGGTTTCACGCGGTCAAGGAAAAACTTTTTAATTGGGTTCTCCTAAAAAGGCGACAAAGGGCAGAAAGGTGAAATATATACCATGGAGAAGGGGTCATGTTTTCACCAGGACGTCATACTGCCTATGCTTTGGAAAATACATTGTGTTGATTTGCATACCCCTCAAAATGACATAAAATGCGTTCACTTTTCCTTCTTTACGTGGGCATTGCTCTGCTTGGGAAAACCCTATCATCAGAATTTAAACTCAGTGTCATGTCTATCTCCTTTGCTTATTATGTGACAAATTGTAAGTGCCTATGGCATTAATTTGTGTCTGAAAATCAAGTCGGGCATTTTTTTACGAATTTTTAAAGGTGGCCCCTAAAAAAGGTTTGTGTCACTAAAACTTACTTTTGCCCCAAGACAAAAACGTAACAGTTTATTTTTTTCACAGATATGTAGCTATCTCAGGCCTACCCAACTACCAGACTCGGCACCTAAGGATCCTGAATTAACCGGTATATCGGACCACATTACCGGTTTTCAAGGTGTGTATCAGATCGCATTTCGGAGTATCAGTCAGAACACCGACAGGATGAGCCCACGCTCGGCTGTCACCTTGATTGGATAGTAAACGATTGTCGTAAAATCGCTATATGATTTTAAAACCAGGTGCATAAAATTGAAAACCACCTAGAACAACCTTAGACTGCCACATTAATCTAATACAATGCAAAAAAAGCCCTATCAAAAGTGGTTTAACCATTCAAACCGAATGTCGTAAAGTCCCCATATACCCCCATAGAAACAATAAATAAGAGTACTCTAAAGTTAGAGTACAAGTTCAAGCCTCTAGCTTAATTAGAATAGGTAATGTGAGGACCCTACATGTACGTCAAAGTCTTAATGGAAGGTGAATTTTCATCCGCTTTTTCAGATACGTAGACTCGTACTGCTTATTGTGGTCATCGTCGGATTTCCTCATAGTGATTTACACGTACATATTTTGACCACTAATATGGAAACTAGTGTTAATGGTTATCCAACCAAAAAGTTTACAAAGGTGTCTGTATTTCCAGCCTTTTTGTGTCAACAGATAACCTAACCGCTATGATATTCAAAACTAACCTTCTTTGACCCTCTCATATTACAGGAGCCTTTGACATATATTACAAAATTGCCGATTGGCCGATACAATATTCTTAAAAGACTGTCAGTGGCCCCTGTAATCAGACCACAGTACACCTGCACCCGGCCACAGTATACCTACCCCTGTATCAAAGATTGCATGGTGTCACGCGGTCAAGGGATAAAATTTAAATTGGATTTTAAAAAAGACGGTATAGGGCAGTAAAATGAAATATATACCATAGACAAGGACTCGCGTTTTTCACCAGTACGTCAGGTCAAGTTCTACTGCTTATGCTTTGGAAAATACATTGTGTCGATTTGCATTCCCCTCTAAATGACGCAACATACGTTCACTTTTCCATTTTTACATGAACATTACTCTGCTTGAGAAAATTCTAGAATCAGAACTTAAACTCTGTGTTTATGTCTATCTCCTTAGCTTATTATGTGACAAATTTCTAGTGCCTATGGCATTGATCTGCGTCTGAAAATCAAGTCAGGCATTTTTTACGAATTTTTAAAAGGGGTCTCTAGAAAAGGCTTTGTGTCACTAAAACTTACTTTTACTTCAATTACGACAAAAACGTAACGGTTTATTTTTTCTCAGATATGTAGCTATCTGTAAGTAAAATTTAAAGCCTCTAACTCAATTAGAAAAAGTAATGTGAGGACCGTACATGTACGTGAAATCTTAATAGAAGGTTGTTTCTCATCGGTTTTTACAGATTCGCACTTAGCTTTCACCAATATAAAATTACCTTTTTCGCGCTCTAATTGCCTATATAGTATATAATTTTGTGTAATAAATGAACACAGTAAATACCTTAAATATTCCCCTATCTTCGTCAGTGTTAATATAAGTGGGCACACCTCAGTGCATGACAGGTAAGATGTACCACAACGGGAAATCGTCTAACACGTGATATTCGAGGAGTAATGGATGCTAGCATAGCACAGACATCAAACGCCTGCGCATGAACAAAAAGTGCGCTTTTTGAAATGAAAGAAAAAATGGCTAGTTGTGTTTACCAGTTTACCTGATTTTTTTTTTCCAATTGGTTGATTTGATTAACTTTGCTTTCTGATATCGTGTGAAAAAGAAGATGGAAAAAGATGGAAATGGTGTGTTGTACGTATTAAAAATACACTCAAAAATACACTAATTTTTTCTGCCACTTAATCCAGCAGAATCATTTCATAATAAAATAGACATAAAGACTGGGAATGTAAGGGATCATTTTCAGACCCTATCGTACTAACTGTATATCAATCTATCTTCAAGGGGATTTTCGCTAAATCGCAATCAACTTAAGCGGCTTAGATGTCTGTCTCGCCTACTGAAGCTGCTAGGGGGTAATTAATTATCGTTTTGCAGCTTTAGTAGGCCTGTCAGACATCCAAACTTAAGCTGAAAACAATTTAGCGAGAAAGCCACTGGGGTTGGATCGATCCTGTTAGATCGATCTACATGTAGGTATGGGAACCCAGTCAGACATAAACATTCCCATTTATTTATTTCATCAGGTATTAAAAACTACAGTGCTTGCTGAAATCACACTTTATTTGCAATGAAAAAGGTCTTTCCGCAATTTGATATGATTTTATTATTTTTACGACTCTTCGGTTGATAAGCTCTCCATCTGTTTCTAGAACTGACCATATATTAGCAAATCACAAAATGGTTTCAACAAGACCAGATTTACTCCAACATTGCATCCTGTCCAGAGAGTTAAACAACTGCTCCACCAGGCGTCTGGGCACCGTGACCCAGCGTTTGGCCTCTATGTACCTGCCGATTGTTTCGTCCCAACTCTTTCCTTTGTTACTAGTACGATGGAAATACTTCGAAATGGTGTCCAAGACAATGTACCAGCCTGAAAGATAAAGAAGAACACTTTAGGAAACCTTTGTCGAACTCTGCGTATGTTAATATGGATTCTTGCGATGTTTTTAAACCCAGGCCGTTTGATTTCCGAGGGTGAAAGCATAATCTGTTAGAGGATGGATGAAACAAAATCAGGAGAGAGAATTATCACTCTGGAAATGTTTATATACATCATACGTCGATATAAAATGACCACGGGACCTGTTGAATGATTTGTGTGGAATAATCTAAGTTCCAAAAAGAATGCTCCTTTTAAAATCACAATTACTGGTTCACGATTCGGATTCTTGCTACTGTCACACTGTCCTACCTGGCTTAACAATGCGAATGAGTTCCCCCAAGCAACTTCCGTCCACGTGCCCAGCACCGACAGCCCCGCACATGACAACTGCGTCGTATGTATCTGGGTGTTACTGTAAAAGAAAGATAGTAAAAATGATCTGCAGCTCCCCTAACGGATTGCAGTAGCCTATGTCATAATACCGCCCTTATGAAAAAGTCCTATAGGATCCGTGGGGGTGACGCACGTGCGACGCATTCCGGGTGTGCTCTCGACTTTGTTCGTTAGTTTTGAGGGCGTGCGCCTTACTCAACACGCAAAGGGCACTTGCTCCTTCATTGCTTGCGACGTGCGTCTTGCACAACGCGCGTCTCTCTTGCTAACTCCGTGCGAGGGGAGCAAGTTACGCTTGCGGCCTCGCTGTTCGCAGGCTATTCGTAGAATCTTTTGGACATGTCCAACATCCTCCGTACGTGCTTACGGGCTGTCTGCGAACTCAAAATTTCGTAAGAAGGACTTGCCGTGAGATTCTACGCAAAATTTGGACGCAAACAGCCCGTAAGAGCCCGTACGGCCGGTTGTGACCGAGGGTTTACATTTTGCACAACAGGTGCGATCAACCGACGATCTAGTTAATTTTACATTATATCCGCCAAGAATGTAACGGTAAGCCTACGTTAGTTTGTTTTCCTGGGCCCCGTAACTCGAAAGCATCGCGCATTGCGACCGAGTGCAAGCGTCTCGATTCCATAATTTGTCCATACTCGCCCAATATAATACACTGTAGCCTCTATGTGATAACGCTATTGGCAATACGTGATGCTTTCGAGTTACGGGGCCCTGTACTGCATGTGTTATTGTTTGTCACCAGCCTGATTAAAGTACAGATGTTTTTTGTTGAAATTCACAGGACAGATCAGAAGTGGGCTAACATACACGTAATTTGATTTTGGTGGTCATTCGGATAACGGTCTGGATCCAATAATTTTGAAAGGATTCGGCACTACTGCCACATAGGACTCATGGTAACATGCAAGCCAGATCCAGACCCCCCTCCCCATATAGCTCATTAAGAATGTGTAGGATATCCTCGGAAATGGATAACTGAAGGATAATAATGCAAACAATGATTTCGTACTATCTTTGCACCGTCTGTGGAACGCCATTACTTCGCGAAAGTTACAGGACCTTTTGACTCCATGCACAGACGCGACAGGTGCGTCCTCCAATCCAGGGATTATTGTATCAAATACTTAAATGTGCCTTTGATATGTTTACTATGGCTAGTTTATTCATTGGTTGTACAATCATTAAAATTTTGAGAAACAATGTTTTTTGAAGTTGAATAAAGAAAATTAGTTCATGACATGGTTTTCTATATCACTTTAAGAATTGCGTTAGGGGTGACACTCACCTTATCGTAACCACTGGCCCATCTTGCATACACGTCCTCACCTCTTATCTGTGATACATGATCTGTTAAGTTCAATCAACCTAGGTAAATTTTTGTCCTTCGTTTTAGGCGTTCTTGCTTTTAATTTATGAAGTAATTCCGAAGTGTTCGCCTTCTAACGCCTACCCCTATATCATTTGCAGGGCCGTCTGCTGTTGACGTGTCCTTTCGAAAATTAAACAAGGTATATAGTGCTATAAGAAAAAAACAAAGCAAGCAAAAATATAGCTTTCTTCAATTTTACAGTCTTGTTTATTAAATAATGTTATTTTGCTGGCTTTTAAACCTGTTTTCTATAGATTCAAATATTTCTACATATTTTCAGATTGAAGGAAAAGTAATAGACTCCAGATCGACTGTGACAGCAAAATTTTAAAGTATTGAAGGATTTACAAAGATTCCACTCGTTTTTTCACCAAGCTGCCCTTCCCGTGTCATCCATAGTATAATGTACAGATAGTAAAATTGCCACTATAGGCTGAAAGAAACGAGATTATTAAGTACATTGCCCTTATTTTTTTCAACCCTTAATCAATAGAAGCTAGAAAAACTATAAGTTAATTTACCGTTAGGTTCCAAACGCATATGGATAAGTAGATTGTTGTGCCATATTTGTGATATCGGGGAAACGTAACCTTCGCATGAGGGTCATTAGCATAATAAAGATGCCACGCATGTTAATATAAATTGTCCTAGCGTTTTGACTGTTTTTATATAACAAGCCTGCAAAAAACTTCATTAAACACAGTGAAAAGCAATTTTTACTCGATATTGTTGACAGGTACATGAAGAGATATTTGATATAAAATTCCTTACTGATTGTTTTAAGAAGAAAAATATTCAAAACCTTATCATTTGATCAAAATTTTGGTAAATGGGCATTTTTGTTTTAGTTTAAGGTTCTTTGATAATAGTTTTTAATTCATCTGTGTATTTGCTCCTCTTTCTTGGGCCACTGCTTATCAAGACTGATCATATGGTCATACAGTACCCGAGCAACTCCACAGTCGGCATTTGAAATGGCAAAAAATACTCAAAACTTAAAAACGCCTAGGTGTGAACCGCTTTGGCTCTCATCGTGCTTTTTAACGTCATAGGTGAAGTCAAACGTGATCTCAGTGTAAAACAAAATGGAAATAAAGGCATCTGATGTCATCTAACTAGGAACATTAAGGGCAGGCTTATCAATAAAAGAGACCCTTAATTGATTGAGTAGCTTTCTCGGTACATCACCACGCCATACAGTGAGCCCACCCTCCTTTCGGTTTCTAAAAAAATCACACTATTATCCCCCTCTTGAAATTGAAATTGACAAACTGAGTCACAGTTCTAAACCGTGTCAAAAAGCACCATTTGCCCCCCCCCCCCCAAAAAAAAAACCTGGTTAGTAAATTTGTTTGTTCATAATGCTTTAATGGTCACACAGAGTACTTGTTATGCACGTTACTTGCAGAACCAATGGGTTGAGCTGTCTGACGCACCATGGCCATTGCCGTGACACATCGATATAAGCGTCCCTTTTGGGGCATATAACTCCTCTTCAGGGGATAATTTAGAATATTTGGGCATCCAAATCGCTCTTTTTAAAAACGTTTGTTGTATGAATTAAAGTCAGTCATATATTTTGTTTGCTTCAGTAGGGTAATTCGATTAAAGAACAGTTATCACAGTGACGCTGAGGAGATTATAAAAAGTTTTTCCAACACAGTTTGTACCGGTATATGTTTTTATTTATCAGTCAGAAAAATAGAAAAATGATTTGGAAAAAAATGTCCATATTGAATGTCATGTTTGTAGATGAAAAGAATAGGCAGACTTTGCCGATAACATCCAGCATGTCTCCATAACCGAAAAAATGCCCGCTGTCTATGACAGAGTAAAGCATATATGCCAGTTACTAGCTTTGATGGAAACACAAGGGCATCAGCCAACTTTTTGATATAAATTGGTCTATGAGGCTCAACATTGATAAAGGGGGATTCTTGCATTTTATAATGCAACCATATTAAGTGATATTGTTACAAGAAAAAAATGCTGAATTTAATGAAAGAAGAGTTTTGTGAATTTAATTTGAGCATAAATTGCCGTAAATCTATAGTATATTAATAAAGCAAAATATTCTTTTGCTCTGCCTTACCCATAAATCTATGTCCTTGAACCCTACTTTACCATCAGTGTGGTTATCAGAAGCAGACAGAAAGCTAGTGTCAACGTGGACACGCGGACATATGGTATCATGTTCTTATCGGACATCTAAGACGGCATATGACTATCAGGTACTATATTTGGTAATCGGTGACCTTGAATGAACTGTCACCGTCTAGGTCGAGTGACGGGAAGGCATCAGGCAGCACCATAAACTGTTGGTTTATCGGGTCTTGTTCAATATACTCTCGCAAAGAGTTAGTGCAACGGAAAAAATTAAAAAAAGAAACTTCGAAACAAAACGTTTCAAAAACCGAAATACCAACATTAGCTAGGGCACGCCACTGAGTGATTTTTGCTAACATGAAAAACGCCCGTCGAATGCAAGATTGCAAATCTGATAAACTATATTTCAATTTTTGTTTGGCCTTAGATCAATATGCGTTTCCCATAGCATTATATAAGTAAATCAAAGGACACGTCGGCATCAGATGATTCCCAGCAATCGGCATCGCCGACCCGTGAAGTTGTTTTAAAAAATGGCTAAAATTGAAGAGAAAAAGCTTCCAATTTTGAACGAGCTTGACAAACCAGGAATCACAAATGAAGAGGTGGAGGACGTGTATGCAAGATGGGCCAAAGATTACGACAGGGTGAGTTACTCCTGTGATCTTCAGAATTTTATGATAGTGCTTACCATATATGGATAAAACAGCCAATATCATATTGCAAGAGCAAAAACTTTACATTTATTTGTATCCCAATAGTATGTTTGTGTGTTCAGTAAAACAGACGTGAATGCGTATTATGTAAAGCCCAAGCAATTCATGTAGATTATCTAGTTAATTCATAAAAATGTCATGTAAATATGTTAATTAAAACACGCCGTTGTTCATTCCGAATATTGAATATCTTTATAATTCTTTAAATGCAGGATATCGCGGACCTCAATTACTTTGCACCAGCTAACAATGCTAATGAGGTAGAAAAAGCACTGAAAAACAAAAAAGACGCGCTTATTTTGGATGCCGCCTGCGGAACTGGTTTGTGTGGAATAGAAGTGAGTGGTTTACTTTTTGTATGAATTAGTATGATATCGTGTGGCAAAATGAGCACTATTGTAAAATTAGATAACTTTACGGGTGATCTCAGCATCTTCACGTAATATTGCAAACGTCTGAACAAATGTATTGACATTTTGTAGCGATATTCTCTCTTCTACAGGCAGCTAAAGTTTTTAAAATAAACAATATTTCGTATGTCTTAGCTTACAAAGCGTGGTTTCCACAACCTCCACGCCCTGGATGGGTCAAGTGAAATGCTTGAGCAGGCAAAACAGAAGGGCATCTATAAGAAAACGATGTGTGCCTTACTTGGACCCAATCGGTTGGATATCCCGGACAGTACGTAGCAGTGGCTGTTCTTTTTACTTATCCATGTCACTTATTCGGTTGCTTTCTGAGATGGTTCTTGGGTGGAACATATGCAATATATAGTTACTGGTTCTGTGTGGTCAAATTTGCCTTGCGAGTGTTTTTCGACTTTGATGCCACCCAAATACTAGGTTTTGCTTCAATATTCAAGTTGGCAGAATGAACGGTATTATGGCATTGGCTTCTTCTATTCGTCAAGAAAATAATATTTTTTTCTTTCTTGTAACTTCCAGACACATACGATGCAGTTGTCATGTCCGGGGCTGTTGGATCTGGACACGTATATGCGAGTTGCTTGGGAGAATTAATTCGCATCGTTAAGCCAGGTTAGTGTTGTGCCACTGGCAACTATTTGTTAAGTGAGTCAGGAAAAATGGTTATAAAAGGATATTCTGAACTTCAATTGTGCCGAATGAAAATTGAATCAATTAACCAACATTATAAACGAGTGGAATCGTGGTCATTTCTTTCGATGTACAGTGTCCCAAATTCTTTTTTTCAGATGTCCCTGCTAATTTTGTTCCATGTTCCCACCCCTTCTAAGATAATGATTTCATTTTTAAAGATTGAATGTAATTATACTGAAAGTGAAGAATTCACTTAGTGAAGAAAGGACCTAATAATGTAAATGTATATAATTTAATTGAGATTTGCTGAAGTTGCCTTTCTTCTCATTCTAGGCGGCTATGTCGTCGTTGACACCATCTTCAGGTATTCACGCGAATCTGGCTATCAAGGCAAGAGTTGGGACGAAATAATGGACGACTTTCTCATGGCCGGACGCTGGGTCACGGTGACCAGACGCCTGGCGGAGCAGTCGTTTAACGCTCAGGACGGGATGCAGTACGCTTTTCAAGTGAAGTAAATCCGGTCTTGTTGAGACCGTTCGTGCTTCGTATATGATCATTCCTTATAGGACAATTGTACGAGTCGCACTAGGACTGATTTAAATGTACAATTCTCAATTTTATCATCTGGTTCTGCAGCAACATTGAAATAAAACAATGCTATGAAATTATACTAAGATGTTTTTATTTCTAATAAAACCCCATAAACATAAATAACCCAAAAAGATTAAAGCAACTTATAAAGTTACTTATATAAGAGGCCAATACATGGACGTATTTCCTTATCTCAACAGTGAAATAGCAAGCATCACAACATACTGCTTCAGCGGTCTATTAAAGCAGAGACTTTCATTTCTGTTTTAGTATTAAAACGGGTGTCTATACATATGATATCAGGGACCATCAATTTGTGATATGCGCTACATAAGTTTTTTTTTATAGATACCCAGTATCTGCTGGTGGAATTCGACTCACACTTTGCCCCACTTTAATGAAAAAATATGTACTAGCTGGTTAGTCCGAGATTTATCTGTTGTTGACGCGCCGATGGTTTCTTGTGTTATACCTACATATACATGTACACACTAACAGTATGCAAGATATGGTGTACCGGTAAAGCGAAAACTAGATGTCCAGTCTGAAAGACCTAGTGTTTTGTATTGTCATCAACAAATCACTACCCTTATGCTCCTTCAGTTCTGATCATATATCGGGGGAATCAGCCACAGAAAGCACCCAATCGGTCATCAAATTTAAAATTAAATTGTATTACACAGATATATAAAAAGAAAAAAAAATGTGTAATTTGTAGTCATTTGCACTCATATTTTGCGGATGTATGGTATATTATCTTGTCTTTTTGGTTCTTATCGGTCGTCTAAAGCAACATATGATTATCTCTTACTACATTCTGAACAGTTACACCATAGTTCTTATCAGGCACCTGGCGAGGCATGAGAGAGCCCCTAAAATTGTTGCTTTATCGGGTCTCGTTATAAATGAAAACCCTTAAAAGTTTCATGGCAACGAAAATACATCGAAATAGAACGGTTATGAACCTGAAATAACAACATCTGCTTGTAGACGCCAATAACCATAGTTTACTCGCCCATCATGTGCAAGACAGCAAATGTTATGAAAACTAGATTAAATTTTGTTTGGCCTGACACCTAGATATCTCATAGCACTATGTATATTTATATTGCAAAAGACGCGTACTGTACGTGCGTTGGCAGCAGATGATCCCCAGCAGCCGATAATTGCTTTGTGACTATCACTTTAAGTTGTTTCAAAAATGGCTAAAATAGAGGAGAAAAAACTCCCAATTTTGGATGAGCTCGACAAACCAGGAATCACCAATGAAGAAGTGGAGAACGTGTATGCAAGATGGGCCAAAGATTACGACAAGGTGAGAACATTTTTAATTTTTTGTTAGAAATTTTGCATGAATAAAACGACCCAAGGCTTATTGAAGGAACAAACATTGCCCCAGTATCGGCACTTGCACTAAGGAAAAGACATTACCCCAAATGTAAATTTTCTTGCCTCTCTTTCGTCAGTGTCGTCAGTTAAGGTCATCACAGACCGATAAATCTGGGATGTTTGATAATTTCTGGTCGACTGCACTGAAACAATAATATGATAATACTGGAACAAAAGTACAATATTTACTAAAGGCGTTTTATCACAAGAAATCCCCTTTAATTTCTTTCGATCGATCATGCAACATAAAAGTCGTTATTTTGTAAATTTTTTTGGTAAGGAGTAAGACTTTGAAAAATAAAATTATGTTAACAAATATATATATCCATCCTATGCAAACATGTTGAGGATTTTTCATACCTGTTGCTATTTTAAATTAAAACGTTTCCGATGTCTAGACTGTCTTGGGTACCTTTGAAACGTCACAAAGACGCTTGTTTGTTTATCCAGTACACTCTGTTTATAAACCAAACGAATGCTTATAATCCAAAAGCTTACATCTTTACTAGTTGATCAATAAAGATGCAAAAAAAAAAAAAAAAAACAAAAAAAAACGCCAAAACGTTTATGCATATGCTGCTGTTATTTCCGAATGTTAAATATTTATTTGAACCTTTTAATGCAGGATCTCGAGGACCTCAACTACTATGCACCGGCCAACAATGCTAATGAGGTAGAGAATGCATTGAAAGACAAAAAAGACGCGCTTATTTTAGATGCCGGCTGCGGAACTGGTTTGGCAGGAGTAGAAGTGAGTGGTTTACTTTTTGAATTAATTAGTATATAATTGTGAATCATAATGGACACTAATAAAAAATGAGGTATCTCAACAGGATCTCACCTATTGTACGTAACATTACGAAAATTTGAACAAGAAAATTGGCATTTTGTAGCGATAAAATTTCTGTTATAACAGGCTGCTACATGTAAGTATTTTAAAAGCTAAAATAAACTACCTTTGATATGTAAAAGCTAAAATAAACTACATTTGATATGTCTCAGCTTTCAAAGCGTGGTTTCCACAACCTCCACGCCCTGGATGGGTCAAGTGAAATGCTTGAGCAGGCCAAGCAGAAGGGCATCTATAAGAAAACGATGTGTGCCTTACTTGGACCAAATCGGTTGGACATCCCGGACAGTACGTAGCAATAGCTGTTTAATTACTTATCCATGTTTTTATTCGGTTACTCTCTGAGATGGTTTGGGGTGGAACTTATGCAGTGTATGCTGTGGTCAAATTTGCCTTGTATTGCGAGTGTTTCTCGACTTAGTGCCACCCACTAAACTGTTGGTTTTGCCTCATCATTCAACTTGCCAACTTGGTCAGCTACTCCAATCCGTCAGCAGGGCTGTTTATACACTTTTACTCTCTTTCTCTTAACTTCCAGATACATACGACGCAGTTGTCATGTGCGGGGCTGTTGGTTCTGGACACGTGAACGGAAGTTGCTTGGGGGAACTCATTCGCATCGTTAAACCAGGTTAGCCAATGTGGCATTTGTAAAAATTCGTAGAGAAAGTCAGGAATGACAATCTTTTAAGTGCCGGTCATTTAACCTGATTTTTGCGCGTGGAATTTCGATCAATTAACAAAATTTGATCAAGATTTCTGTCGATGCTTAACGCTAACAGAGATTTTCGAAATTGAACTTGCCCTTCCTGGTTTTGATTCATCCACCCATCTATCATTAGGTTGTGGTTTCATTCTCAAAAATTGAGTGTACGGTCATAGTGACTGTCGCGAGAAACCGAATAATCTACGATTGTATATAATTTTATTAATGTTTGTTCTTTCTTCTTTTTTAGGCGGCTATGTCGTCGTTGACATCCTTTTCAAGTATGCCCATGACTGTGGCTACCAAGGCAAGAGTTGGGACGAAATAATTGACGGCTTCCTTTTGACTGGACGCTGGGTCACGGTGACCAGACGCCTGGTGGAGAAGTCGTTTAACTCTCTGGACGGGATGCAGTACACTTTTCAAGTGAAATAAATCTGAGCATATTGAGACCATTTTGTGTTTTTTTATATATGGTCAGTTCTAAGGACAGATGAGTGATCCTTGACAGTGGCGAATCTAAATCTGTAGCGTAATGGAAATAAAGAAGAGTTATGAACTTGATTTTTTTAAATTTCAAATAAAACTTCAAGTTAAAAAAGTATTAAGCTTTAACATTTGTTAAGATTGCAAATAACTTAAAAGGTCATTTCTGTGGACGTAATTTGATATATGATATATAAAAGTACCCCATCTCGAAACATTTTGATATCGTAGAGGGCGAACGGTGCCATGTGGTACGAATTAGAACTATGATTCAGCTAGTCAAAATTCTGACACCAGGAGGGGACGACTTGTGTGTTTTTTTTCAAATATCAAAGTGAGGAGTTAGGACCCCTCTGACGCCCCCTTAAAAATCCGCCACCGTGCCTTCATATTGTGCCCCTTTCCTAAATATTCAGCGGTGTGAATTCTAAATCTAAGGACAAATAGACGCGCCATATCATCTCGTGCACCTTAGTGAACTCTTGTGCGTGCTAATTTGTGCTCCCGTGACGTTGAAATGCCCCATATAGTGCTTATCAAATGACTAGGGCCTAAGTCAGTTTATATAAAATATTGGTTTTTCAGTATTAATAGGTGAGTAATTATGTTTTATATCGCAAGCTTATATGTTGATGTTCTTACAAGATCACAGTATTGAATTTACTGACGGAAGAATTTTGCACAAAAAAAAAAAAAAAAAAAAAAAAAAAAAAAAAAAAAAAAAAAAAAAAAAAAAAAAAAAAAAAAAAATTGTGACAAAAAAAAAGTGTCAAAATTTAAAAAGCGACTAAAGATGTCTACAATAAACCATAATTATTTTACTTTGCCTTAGATGGAGGTCCCTGAACCCTACTTTATCATCGGTGCTGTTATCTGCAGCAGACAGTCATTGACCGCGATAAAGTCCATGTGTAGGCCTACTAGGTATTAACCTGTCCATGAGGAGGTGAAGCACCGGGTTACCGGGTCTATTCTAAGGGCGCATTCAGATTCACACATCGTGTTAGCTGGGTCTGTCCAACTCTGCGTGGGGTTATTATTAAAGTAAAATCATTGATATCAGCTTTAACAAATCAGAACGCGGTCGTTATAATTAACCCATTGTTGCTCGAGGAAGCGTATCAGACAACTAAGCCGACTCCACTTTTAATTTTGAAAAGAATTGTCTTAAGTACCTTAAGAGGACACTTGGCGCTTTAAATGTATTTGTTGTTTGCTATAATAAAATATTTCCACTACATATGTAAAACAATAAAGAAACATCAAATCGGCCAATGAGTAATTATTCAAATTCGTAGATTGGTTTTATTTTCATCTAGAAGAAATAAAAGTTACAGTATAGATATACAAAATGAGAAAGATATCTCTCGATTATCACTCAATGGGTGCAGATACGAATGATTCCTTAATCAATGAAGAAAGAGAGAGAGTTACAGTACATACATGTATATGCTAACTGCAACTGCCTGAGCTGTTAATACCTTCTTCATATTTTAAATTTATTGGGTAATGCCCATATGTATCTATCTAAAAAGCCATGTCTTACAATTCTGGGGCATGCTTAACGTAATGGAATTGCTACACTGTATTAAAAAGGATGTACACACTCTGCAAGTGAAAAAACAAGAATTGTAGCATGTAACTGTCTCGGTCATGTATTAATACAGTTTTCTTAAATGTTAACGTATGCCTATTCTATTAAGATACTGATAGTTTGAGAAATTGAATTTTGAAGTTCAGCATATTTATTCACCCTATAAGCAATGGATGCCTATTCACATACATATAAAACATACACAACCCAATGTTCTAAGTACTTTAAGCATATAAATCCCGCTTATGAGTTGATCCTGACTTCAGTTGATCACAACAAATGTTTTCACCAAGCAATAAAGCACATTTTAAGCGTATGTGTATGTTTATGGGTGTAACCATTCAGAAGCAAAAGCCACAGGAAAATCCCCATAGGTCCACCCTGCTTTTTGCGCTCATGTCTGGCGTGGTTGAAATAGGGTGGCTTCTAAACCACAGTCACTTCACCCGAAAGGCGTATTGCATGCCCTCGTTTGTGTTGAACGAGTTCTCTATCTGTCGTCTGGTCACCGTGACCCAGCGTCCAGCCATGAGGAAGTCGTCTAGTGTTTCATCCCAGCTCCTGCCGTTGTATTCAATGCCGACAAGGTGTTTAAGAATGGTGTCCATCACCACATAACCACCTGGAAGATAAAGAAAGTGAAATGCATTCCTCCTTTTTTCCTTTTAATTCTGATTTTGAGAAGAACGTCTTTAACTTTTGGTAATCAAAAAGTAAGGATTTATGCGCGAATTTATACTTTTCCCATTTATTGGTTATTATTTTTTTTCAATTTAAGCATTTTAAAAGAGGCATATAATATATATCTTTATACAAAATTACACATTAGTTTAAAAGTGGTTTCATTTGTTTAAGGAAGCCCAGTAAGTAGCCACTGAGCATTGACCACATACATGACAGGTCGTGTTAAATAAATTTTGATGAATCTGACGTATAAAAAGGTTTATAGTAGAGTGTTAAAAAGGACACTTGCGAAATTAAAAAAAATAGTCGCCATGGCATCTGGTGTTTTCTTAGATAAGGTATAAGAGATGGTTAAAATTCATTAATGGTCTCCTTAAAAGGAAAAAATGTATTGGAAAAATGTATTCAATAATTAAAATACATTTAGAAGAGATCATGTGGAATTCCTTGTTTCCATCGTTATGTCCAAACCAGCATTTGTTTCTTAAAGTTTTAACAAAATTTCATCTAGAGATAAACTGGTGGTCTTTTGAGTCGAAGCAAATACCAGTGAGCGAAACAAAAACCCCGCGGCGATGAAGCCATGGTCTGCTGAAATGAACAATTTATGATTTATCTGTCTTGTAATTTCATTTAGCTCAAGAACAGTTCAGTCTGTTTCGAATATTTATCTCGATTACTTGTCAGTGTGGTAAATTTCCTCTTACTTTTCTCATACTTTATCTGAAATGAAATATATGTCATAAAAGGTCCCCTTCACCTACCTGGTTTGACAATGCGAATGAATTCCCCCAAGCAATCTCCCCCGATATGAGCTAAACCCGCCGCCCCTGTCATCATGACCGCATCGTACGTGTCTGTAAACAAACAAACAAACAAACATACAAAAAAAAACACATATATATTAACGCTTAAATAGTTTTTCATGACCGCGTTCCACATTCCCGGTGCTGTTGGCAGTACGTATTTAAAATTGAACGATTTAACAAGTTGTATGTTTGATTATGGAAACACGATCATCTGGTGACTTTTGGTGTGACAACTTCATGTTTCAGTTCCTGAAGTAACCCAGTTAAGCAAGGAAATGAACTGGACTTAACGGTCATTTAGATCCAATCTGCGGTCAGATAGAGTATTGGGCTTAATCACAAAGGTTGGCCTCTTGTAACAGTATGGACTCAAGGCATACACGCTGATAAGTGTCAAACAGACATCTAATAATTCTTACAAACAGCATATAAACTGTCATTACACAACTTTGTAAAACAGATCTAATCACAAATTGTAAAGAAATACTAAAAAGTCATTAGCAGTATGATAAAGTGATAGATAAAGATATGTATACTCATATAAACTCACAGTAACAACTTCGAACATCTTTATCATAACGAAGTAATTTTCCCAAGTACTTCGAGGCAACTAAGTTTTAGTCTGCCAAAAAGGTAACCACATGTAAAATCTGGTGCTTCTATTTTACTTTGTCACAATTTTACGCTTATTTAAGTCACCTAAACTTCGAGAGAGAGAGAGAGAGAGAGAGAGAGAGAGAGACGTATATACTGCGTGTATATATTGTTTAGTGTGTACATGTACAAGGTACTTACCATCAGGGATATCCAGTCCCTCTGGACCAAGTCTAATACACATCAACTTCTTATAGATATTCTTCTGCTTGGCAACGTCAAGCATTTTACTAGACATGTCAAAGGCATGGAGGTTGTGGAAACCTCGCTTTGCCAGCTAGAAAATAAAAAGTAAAAAGACGTTTACAGGTATTTTAGCTCCATTTCCCTAAGCAACCGAAGTAAAAACGTTGGTTCAAACCTGTTCAAAAGACTCTACAACATCCTGGCCCAATATCGAAGAATCCGTTGACCATGTGCTGACTTTTAACGTGAAGAGAGCCTTTATGTGCTAGCCTGCACTCCTAAAGTCTTTTATACCATAAAAGACACCCGTTGTGCTAAATTGTTAAGATATATTTCGATATTACTACCTAAGCGACATATTATTCACCTCGACGCCCCCTATACCGGTCCCACAGGCGGCCTCCAAAATAAGCGCATCTTTGTTGTCCTTCAAGCATTTTTCTATTTCGGTTGCGCAGACACTTGGTTGAGTGTAATTTAGAGTTGCCATATCCTGAAAAAAATAAATATTCAATGATGATGATATACAGGTAATGTTATCATTTATCTAAGAATACTTATGTTAAATAGTTTATTTTATGAAGGTATTTCGGTGTATTTCATAAACACCCCAATCTCACATTTTTTTTCAAACAAAGCAAGTTGATTATGACGCTTGTTGTTTGATGATTCCTTATTAAAACAACATTTATGTAGAGATAGAAGAAATGAAATTGCCACATTACAGTGCATTTTTGATCCAAATGGGAAGTACAAATATATGATAATCAGGCCTCATAAACGATAATTGCCGTTTTCTAACACGATTCTTGGATTTGGGAGCACAAATTCACAAACTAACGAATCCATCCACGGATTAATGAACCCAACGTAGAATTACTTGCTACAAGTTTAAAGTTTCATGACACAAACAATTTGACCAACTTCTTTTCGGGTCTCTGGCTGTATACATAGGCCACCAATGGGTTCTTTGTGTACTCGAATACCTCTTACTTAAACAGAAGTACCGGTTAAACGGCTTGTGTAATGAAAAGCTGTGCTTCTAGAACGTAATTTTACATTGGGGTAGTCAATTATTGGCTGGAGTCATTAATTCGGGCATTTAGTGTGTTCACAAATCTGAGGCTCGAATTAGTTGATAATAGGGCTGAACAATATGCAACCTCTATCATCGATGTCTAAGCAAAGTAATCATTGCCACAAACAAATCACGCAGAATTCCAACTTTACCTTATCATAATTTTCGGCCCATTTTTCATAAATTTTTTCCGCCTTCTCGTTATCGAGACCCGGCTTCTCAAACTCTTCAAAAATTGGTATCCATTGCTCCCCTTGCTTCGCCATTTTCCTATTCAAGTTGACCTGGCCTATATAAGGGGATTAAGAATTGTTTCTTTATGAATTAAAAAAATACAAAATGACCACCATTTGTTACAGAAATTCTAGGAACCCTCTTGCTGATTTATTCCTAATTAATTAGAGTAATAGTGGTATAAAAAAAAAAAGAAAAACAAGCTGGAGAAATAGTGGTATTAACAAAAAAAATTCATTTGATAACCTGTATATCCCTGGAAATACATGTATTCATGTGATAAATGACGGCCATCTGTGCCAATTTTAGATTTTCTCAAAATGGCCAACGATACACACATGATATCATCGGGATATAGCAGAAATGGGAAATACTGAGAAACAAACATTAATTGGTTATGGTGTTTGTGCCATAAGACTATCTATATAATGGTAAATACATCCTACTGTGACATCTTATGTTTCCAAAATTTACCAAGTAACAACACACGCATTGCATTCGTTTTATTTTTAAAATATCTTATTAAAGAAATCTATGTGTGTATGCATATATCTTATTAGCGTATAGATATATATTTTATATTCCATGTCTAAAAGGTGGCTAAAAATAATCATAGGAATAATAAAAGGCACTATTAATCCCTGGTAGTACATGTTGATACTCATATACACCTATTGCAATGTCGGCCATCTTGGAATGACCAAGGTGCATGCATTTTACCGGCCAGTTATTTATTAAAAAGTAATAGGCCTGTGGAAATCAACGAAAAAACTTTATATGAGAACGTCCTCTATACCCCTGAACTAGCTTGGCAACTTGGCTATGAGTCATATGTACAGGTTAATACAGTATGTAGGGCAACATCAGTTGTGTGCATAACGTATCTAGAGTATAAATACCCCTGTACAAGACCCATACAATAACCAGTGTGTGTGAGTGTGAGTGTGTGTGTGTGTGTGTGTGTGTGTGGTCAGGTTAAAGCAAGAAAGCATCTAAAACTCACAGTGTGTCAAAACACTTCATACCCACCTCATTTAAACAACTTACTTCCGTTGACCTGAGCAATATACTGAGGGCACTCAAGTCGAGATGAATTTATTTACATTCACGTCAGTATGAACTTAAGTGTAACTTGGCAGGTCAAACGTTCGGAACAGGGGGATGCATTTTAATGACAGATGGTTCTGTGATATTGTGATAGGTGAGATGGAAGTAGAATCGTGGGAATCGTAAGGGGATATAATAATAATAATAATAATAATAACAATAACAATAATCTTTATTGGGAAATCGCAACCCGAAGGTTGAAGTTATACAATTATAAATTATATGTACCATATATTAATACAGTTTTCTTAAATGTTATCGCATTCCATTTAGAAATTGATAGTTTGAGAAATTGAAATTTTAAGTTCAGCATATTTATTCACCCTGACTTCTGTTAATCACACGTTTTCACCAAGCAGGCGCGAAGAAAGAACATTTTGAGCGTATGTGTGTGTTTATGGGTGCAACCATTCAGAAGCAAAAGCCGCAGGAAAATCCCCATAGTTCCACCTTGGTATGCTCATGTCTGGCGTGGTTAAAATAGGTTGACTTCTAAACCGCTGTCACTTCACTTGAAAGGCGTACTGCATTCCCTCCATAGTGTTGAACGAGTTCTCCACCTGTCGTCTGGTCACCGTGACCCAGCGTCCGGCCATGAGGAAGTCGTCTATTGCTTTTGCCGTGGTATTCAGTGCCAACGATGTGTTTTAGAATGGTGTCCATCACCACGTATCCACCTGAAAGATAAAAGAAAGTGAAAATGCTTTCCTCCTTTTTTGCTCCTTTTTATTCCAATTTTGAGAAGAGCGCCTTTATCTTTTGGTAATCAAAAAGTAAGGAACCATGCGCGAATTTATACTTTATCCATTTATTGTTTTTTTTAGTTAAAGCCTCTTTATACAAAATTGCACATTGATTTGAAAGTGGTTTCATTGGTTTACGGAAACCCAGTTAGTTTTCATTGATCATTGTCCACATAAATGAGAAGTAATTTCAAATGGTTTTTGAGAAATCTGACATATAGAAATAGTTTACATTACAGTATAGGACACTTGGTAAATAAAAAACCAAAATTGATAGTCGCCATGGCATCTGGTGCTTTCTTAGATAAGCTGTACGAGATGGTTAAAATGCATTAATGGTCCCCTTAAAAGTAAAAAATATATTAGAAAAATGTGTTCAATAATTTAAATATAATATAATAATAATTTTGATAAAACGATAATTTTCAAAATTACATTTAAAGGAGATCATGTGGAATTCCTAGTTTCCATCTTCATGTCCAAATCAGCATTTGTTTCTTAAAGTTTTAACAAAATTTCATTTAGAGATAAACTGGTGGCCTTTTGTGTCGAAGCAAATACCCCTGAGCGAAACAAAAATCCCTGCTGAAATGAACAATTTACAATTTATCTGTCTTGTAGCTTCATAAAGCTCAAGAACAGTTCATTCTGTTTCCTCCTTCAAATATTTATCTCGGTTACTTGTCAGTGTGGGGAATTCCCTCTTACTTTATCTGAAATGAAATTTATATCATAAAAGGTCCCCTTAACCTACCTGGTTTGACAATTCGAATGAATTCTCCCAAACAATCTCCGCCGATATGAGCCAAACCCGCCGCCCCTGTCATCATGACCGCATCGTACGTGTCTGAAAACAAACAAACAAATATATATTAACACTTAAATAGTTTTTTAAGTTGTTAAGCCACCCCTACTGAGAGAGAGAATGAGAGAGAGAGAGGGAGGGGAGAGAGAGATGTAAATACTGTATATTGTTTAGTGTGTACATGTACTAGGTACATACCATCAGGGATATCCAGTCCCTCTGGACCAAGTCTAATACACATCAACTTTTTATAGATATTCTTCTGCTTGGCAACGTCAAGCATTTTACTAGACATGTCAAAGGCATGGAGGTTGTGGAAACCGCGCTTTGCCAGCTAGAAAATAAAAGTAAAAAGAAGTTTACAGGTGTTTTAAATAGCTACATTCCCTAGGCAACCGAGGTTAATACGTTGGTTCAAACCTGTTCCAAAGACTCTACAACATCCTGACCCAATATCGAAGAATCTGTTGACTGACTTTTAACGTGAAGCCAGCCTTTATGTGCTAGCCTACACCCCTAAAGTCTTTTATACCATAAAAGACACCCGGTGTGCTAAATTGTTAAGATGTATTTCGATATTACTAACTCAGCGACATACTAATCACCTCTATGCCCCCTAAACCGGTCCCACAGGCGGCCTCCAAAATAAGCGCGTCTTTGTTGTCTTTTAAACATTTCTCTATTTCGGCTGCGCAGACACTTGGTTGAGTGTAATTTAGAGTTGCCATATCCTGAAAAAAATTAATTAAATATTAAATGATGATGATATAATGTTATCATTTATCTAAGAATACTTATGTTAAATAGTTTATTGTGTGAAGGTATCTCGGTGTATTTCATAGACACCCCAATCTCACATCTTTTTTCAAACAAAGCAAGTTGATTATGACGCTTGTTGTTTGATGATTCCTTATTAAAACAACTTTTATATAGAGATAGAAGAAATGAAATTGCCACATTACAGTGCATTTTTGGTCCAAAGGGGAAGGACAAATATATGAATAGGCCTCATAAACGATAATTGCCGTTTTCTAACACGAGTCTTAGATTTGGGAGCACAAATTCACAAAGTAACGAATCCAGCCACGGATTAATGAACCCAACGTAGAATTACTTGCTACAAGTTTAAAGTTTCATGACACAAACAATTTGGCCAGCTTCTTTCGGGTCTCTGGCTGTATACATAGGCCTCCAATGGGTTCTTTGTGTACGGCAGCAGTGTTTCTCGAATACCTCTTGCTTAAACAAAAGTACCGGTTAAACGGCTTGTGTAATGAAAAGCTGTGCTTCTAGCACGTAATTTTACATTGGGGTAGTTAATTATTGGCTGGAGTCGTTAATTCGGGCATTTAGTGTGTTCACAAATCTGAGGCTCGAATTAGAAACGCCCAATTCGTTTTGAAGCCTGATAATAGGGCTGAACAATATGCAACCTCTATCATCGATGTCTAATCAAAGTAATCATTGCCACAAACAAATCACGCAGAATTCCAACTTTACCTTATCATAATTTTCAGCCCATTTTTCATAAATTTGTTCTGCTCTCTCGTTATCGAGTCCCGGCTTCTCAAACTCTTCAAAAATTGGTATCCGTTGCTCCCCTTGCTTCGCCATGTTCCTATTCAAGTTGACCTGGCCTATATAAGGGGATTAAGAATTGTTTCCTTATGAATTAAAAAAAATACAAAACGACCTACATTTGTTACAGAAATTCTAGGAACCCCCCTAGCTGATTTATTCCTAATTAATTGGAGTAATAGTGGTATTAACAAAAATAAACGAATAAATAAATAAATTTTAAAAAGTTCATTTGATAACCTGTATACCCCTGGAAAATAGAATCCGTGTATTCATGTGATAAATGACGGCCATCTGTGCCAATATTAGATTTTCTCAAAATGGCTAATGATACACACATGAAATCATCGGGATATAGCAGAAATGGGAAATACTGAGAAACAAACATTAATTGGTTAGGTGTTTGTGCCATAAGACTATCTATATAATGGTAAATACACCCTACTGCGACATCTTATGTTTCCAAAATTTATCAAGTAACAACACACGCATTGCACTTGTTTTATTTTTAAAATATCTTATTAAAGAAATCTATGTATATATGCATATATCTCATAAGCGTATGGATATATTTTATATTCCATGTCTAAAAGGTGGCTAAAAATAATCATAGGAATAATAAAAGGCACTATTAATCCCTGGTAGTACATGTTGATACTCATATACACCTATAGCAATGTCGGCCATCTTGGAATGACCAAGGTACATGCATTTTACCGGCCAGTTATTTATTAAAGAGTTATAGGCCTGTGGAAATCAACGAAAACACTTTATATGAGAACGTCCTCTATACCCCTGAACTAGCTTAGCAACCTGACTATGAGTCTTATGTACAGGTAAATACGGTATGTAGGTCAACATCAGTTGTGTGAATACCGTATCTGCATGCAGTAAATTCAAGACTCGTACTAAGTCCAGTGTGTGTGTGTGTGTGTGTGTGTGTGTGTGTGCGTGTGTGTGTGCGCGCAGGTATCAGCAAAAAAGCATCTAAAACTCTCAGTGTGTCAAAACATTTCATACCCACCTCATTAAAATTACTTACGTCTGTAACCCTGAGCAATATACCGAGGGCACTCAAGTCGAGATGGCTTTATTTACATTCACGTCAGTATGAACTTAAGTGTAACTTGGCAGGTCAAACGTTTGGAATGGGGGGATGCATTTTAACGACAGATGACCTACTGTGATATTGTGATAGGTGAGATTGAAGTAGAATCGAAGGAATGTTTCATGATTTACATATCCCTGTATATCATTATGTAGGCAAGGGATGGGACATTTTATTTCATCGGTCAAAGATGCGTGACTATTAGTCAAGGCCTATTGATTATGGGTAAGAGGTACAAGAGGTCATATTTTATTGATTTTTTCATAAAATAGAACCAACATGTTTTTAAACATTGTTTGAATAAATGTTTTGCCAATTTGTGAATGGTTTATAGCCTAATGATTGTGAAGGAACTTTGGAACTCAAGTATCTTATTTCAGAAAATTATGTAATTTAATATAAACATCCCCTATTTGAAAGTGGGGTAGGGGAGAGAAAGTGCTCACTACATCAATATGGTTAAGTATATATATATATATATATATATATATATATATATATATATATATATATATATATATATATGGAGGTAAGGGACGGGGCAATAAATTCTATAAGTCATGAATACATGGCAATTTGTAAAGGTTGATTGATAATGGGGCAAATATCAGAAAAGGTTATATTTCATGGATTTTTCATAAATTTAAGCCAAGAATTGTTTTAAAAGCATTGTTTGAGTAAGAAATTGAGATATCGTGAATTAACCATGGGCAGGTTCTATTGTAATGTTTTTGAACAAAATTTGGAGCCTCAAGCTTCTTTTTTTTTTTTTAGAAAATTATGTACACTTATTGAATGTGAACCTATCAGTCAAAATACGCCCTCTTGAAAGTTGGGGTAGGGGAGAGAAAATGCTCATAACTGGAAGAAAGGAGAAGATACAGCAACACAATGCACATGTTCAGGGGCGGATTGAGGCCGTCTTCTGGGTCTTCTGGTAAGATTTTCAAGTTTACATTGACGGGTATCTAATTTTTTTTTCTGTCGGAGGCGGTCAAAATGGAGGATGGATCAACAAAGATAATTTGGAAGACTGTCAGAAAATATCTCTGGATCCGCCTCTGCATGTTTATGCAGTTTAAGATATGACAATTTATTTCTTAATTAAGACACCTCGGTCAGCCGAGGTCACATTTAGAGCTTTCTTATGAGTATGAACATACATGTAACACCAATGGTAGATTATATTTTGGTTTAAATAAACAATATTTAGAGATAACTTGATATTGATGGCTACTGATGACTAATGCATTTGATCTGTGATTGTTTCTTTAATTTTCAGATTTTTATTTTTTATTTTTTTTTTATTTTCCCCATATCATGACTTTTATTCAAAGTACACACACTGGACAATAGAAGTGTCACCCTACTGAACAAATACTTTGGGGGAGATAAATGACATTTTATTAACTTCAAATTTCACAAAGGAAACGGTCTGACTGAACGTATTGATATTCTGACACTGCTTACATTCCGCATCTTCAGGTTAATAACTTTGATTACTCTGATTCAGGGGGTGGCACTTCTTTTGTCCAGTGTGTGTAGAAGTGAGGTCTTTCTGAAAAATGGAGTATTTGAGAGAAGTATTTCTTTGTTGTAAGCTGTATGATGAAATACAGGTTATATTTTGCAATTGAACCAATTCCCCCAAAATATTATCTTTCGCTACTTTTATTTAAAAATGCGATATATAGATAAACGGAGAAACGAATTTTGACCATTTACTGCAGGAGTTTATTTCAGATGTGGTACATACGATAGCAATTTTAGTAACCTTCAGTAATCTAATATGTACATTTTTTGCAAGACAGCCGTTATCAGCCATTGTTTTAACACAGTTTAAATTGTTTTAGTACTTATAGCGTATATGTTAAGGTTTTAATCGCCATAAATATGTGAGGTAAATAATCACTGTAATGACTTAAATATGTACCAAAATAAATGACTAAATCAATTGAAACAAGGATAATTTTAAAAGTAGTTTTGTAGTAATACTGAAAACAAAATTCGAAGCCATTCATTTTGGCGATCCTATATTCATATTCAAACCCCAGTAAAGTTAGTTCCATATGCCACAGGAGGGTAATTAGAAATTAACTGACGCACTGAATCTGAGCTGCAGGGTAGTGAGCCGTGTCCATGCTGGTCAGAACATCGAGGTGGATCTGGGCTCGGAATCTCGAAAGGTTCGCTATGTTGCGCACGCGCTATAGCATAGCTAGCGTGCGCTATTTGCTAGTGCGATTGCACCCACCTGCTATCTCGAAGCCTTAGCAGACGCAACGCAATTATAACCTCAAACTCTACTAATATTCGATTGCTGCATAAAGTGAAGACGTCATAACACAATTACACAAAATGTAATTTTTTTCACCATGACGCAAATCAAGAGGTTGTTTTTATTTATAGGAATATCATAATTACAAATACTGATATTTGAAGTATTTGACACCAATAAAATGTCAAAAAACAATTCAATAAGCGAAGCTTGGACTGACACAATTACTGACACAATGGTGAGTAGTGTTCAGTCTCACAATAATAGACATTGAGGAAGGTCACGGTGCGGCCGAATGCTTTGTTTCTGCTTTTTCATTTTGTGTGGAAAATGACACTTTTAAATTTATTATTATTATCAATAGACTACACAGATGAATGAAATTCACCAGAAAATATAAAATGATGTATGAAATGTTTAATTTTGAAATTTTTCTGCATAATAAAATATGACTTTGGCATTCTTCACGTGAATATTTACCGCAAGTTTTTCTATCAGAGGTACCAGTGATTCAATCAATTAAAAGCTTCCATGTTTTTGTTATATGTTTTATTATATGCTATTATGACTAGCAACCCAAACTTGCCACCATGTTTAATTACATGAAAGACACATTAAAATGACGAATTTTGCATACGCAGAGGCCTTTGCGACTAGTTTGTATCGCCGCAAATAATAGCCTCGAAACTAATGGCGATTTGGACATTAGCGCACGGCCGGGATTTGCGAAGCTTTCGAGATATGGGATAGCGCACGCTAGCCATGCTAGCGCAGGCGCTCAAAATAGCGATTCTTTCGAGATACGGGATAGCGCACGCTAGCCATGCTAGAGCGTGTGCGCAACATCGCGAACCTTTCGAGATTCCGAGCCCTGGTGACATTTCTGATGACCGCTGCATACAGTTGTCCTTGTCGTGACCTACAACAAAACAAAACAAAACTAAGATATGCTTCATATGTCTGGTACAAGCTACCCCTACTCTCCGAGTTAATTTTTTTTCTTCCTACCCCAAAAATTTTACAATATGCGACGCACTAGTTACTGGTCGCAATAAGACCAGATTCGTTAGAAACACATTTACATGTTTTGTACAGACAGTGAATGGTCTATGGCAAAGTGATGTTCCTTAAAGGAATGCACCAAGAAAAACTGTATTGTTCCAGGGAGAAATTTTATGGCTCAACATATGTTGGCATGTTTACAGACGATGTACACTGTAATGTTAATTGATTGCTGAAAGTGGGGACAATGTAAATTTTATTTACACATGCTGTTAACTAGAGAAGGATACTAAGAGAGAGAGAGAGAGAGAGATAGAGAGTGAATGTTGAGGTGCCTGCAAGGTTATGTCTCCCCAAAATGGACTAGTTGTGGCCGTAAAGGCCTGCGGTCGTGCTTTTTTATGTATAATATAGACAAATCCACCATGTACACTGTAGAATGATGCCTACCCCTAAGCAAAATGAAAAGTTTCTAGAAATATTGCAGCAATATCACAGCAAATTAACACTTTGCAGCAGCGAGTTTGCAAGAAAAATATATTACTGCTTATTTACAGCCTTATTGCTGCTAATTTGAGAGAGAGAGAGAGAAAGAGAGAGAGATAGAGAGAGAGAGTGAGCTGATATTTAGCTAAGGGTT